CACATCTTTAAGAGGTACTAACAGGGGTGGACTGACAACACATGGGGCCTCCGGGCAATAAGAGGGTAAGGGGCCCTCTTGTGCTTCACCCACATACAAGCCTATACATTAATTAAAAAAAAAAAACGACTTATCCAAGACAAGGGGGTTCTTCACAGTAAGATCAGTTAGGGTCTGGAACTCACTGCCACAGGCGGTGATTTCAGCAAATAATGTGGAATTGTTCAAGAAACTTTTGGACGATTTCTTAAGGGACCGTAATATACAGGGGTACAGGTACTCCTAGAATGAGATCCTAATAGGTTGGACTTGATGGACTAATGTCTTTATTCAACCTCAAATACTATGTAAGTAGGGGACCCTAAAAACCACAGCAGGGAGGGGAGCAGGCTGCGACAAGTGATCTGGGTCATAGTAATAGAACTAGGGCTTTTTTCCTGGCGGTACGCATCGGCACGTACCGGTAGCCCTTTCATTTTTATTTAAATATAGAATTGCAAAAAAAAATTTTTTTAAAAAAGGCGCCCTCGCGGCAAGTGTTACCACCCCTTTCGACCTGTCTGTACACTTGCCATACAGACAATGCGCTAGTGTCTGCGCAGGGTGATGATGCTTCTCTTCTGTAGCCATTTACTGCCAAAAAGATGGCCACCCCCACAGTAAACCTCATTGCCACTGGCCATCTTGTGCGTCCCCACTACCATAACCAAAAACGCTGCTGGCATTGAGGTTTATTGTCGGTGGGCATCTTGGTTGTGGCAGCGGGGATGCACTGCGGCCCTGCCCACAACTAAGATGACGGCCGCATGTTTTTTGAGGGCAAAAAGGTGCCCCCCCAAAAAAAGCACTGAGTAGAACAATGCCATATGGTTTCTGTGCCACAACTGCGAGCACACCAAATATTAGTTTACCTAGATTTTGCTTCATATTTGCCATTGAAACAGTACGGCATTTTCTATTGTAACTATAGAGGATAGCTTACATGGAATGCTGAAGGATCTGCTATTCTAGAGAAGTGATCTTTATACACCAAAAAATGACATCTCTATTCCTCGCACTGCCTACTATGACATTCCCATCCTCAGAGGAATGCTCTGCGATTGTGTACATGTTTTACCAGAAAAGCAGCAATGGTTTACTTTGTCTTTCTTGTCTGCGGAACTTTGTGGGTAACAGATTGTTTCCTTACCGTGACCTCTGGATTTCAAAGGCAACCCACTGGACAGGTCCCACTCTGTATTTGGTCATTACAGCTGAAGAATGGGGTGGCTGAAGGCCTGCAAAGCTGATAACATAGCAGAGTGCAAGGGGTTAAGACAGCCTCTGCTACCTCTGAGGTGGGGGGGTGGACAGGGACCCATCTCCCTGCTGACGGGACTGGGGGGGGGTCCTCTGAGAGCTGCCAGCAGAATTGTCTGACACTCTGTTCCTCGCCACTCCATTCAGGAGAGAAGAAAAAAAAAAAACCAACAAAACTTTAACCCAGCTGCTTGCATCAATGTAGAGAAGAAAATAACCTGGCCAGTGCCTGGAGCTGAATGTCCCGGGCGTTGGGTGAAACACATTGCACTGCTCTGGGGTCCCCCTGCTGACTTGATGGGGCCCCCCACTGGCCGTGGGCCATCGGGCAGTGCCTGACTGCCCGAATGGTCAGTCCGCCCCTGGGTACTAAGCACTCTACAATCAATGCCAAAGGTTCACATCTAGCCAAAATGTTTTTGTTTTAGTTTTGCATAGAGTGTGGAAGGACAGTGGTGCACCTATGGTGGGGCAAAGGGTGCGTTCCACCTAGCTGCAGGGTGCCTGTATTTTTAGACAATTTACTTTTTGTTGCTCAGTGTTCAGTGGAACCACGTGCCTTCTACTGCTGTAGGTGAGAAGCTCCTCAGCCTCCCCCTAGCCCGGCACCATCAGTTCTCGTGCTGAGCCGTAAATCAAAATATGCTGCCCAGTCTCAGCTTGAGGTGGGGTGGGCTGGGGGTATGGCTGCGAGAGAGCTCCATCCATGCCTGCAGTGTTCCCTCTTGTGCCCTGTAGAGGTGCTTGGACCGGAGTGACATCACATTCTGGCTCCCAGCCCCTCTACAGGCCGCACAAGGGAGCTGTACAAGCAATACATATATGGATGGAGCTCTGTCACAGCACAGCAGCCCACACCGGACCCCAGGCTGAGGATCCACTCCAGTTCTTAAAGGTAGGGAGACTGGGTGGATCTTTAAAAAAAAAGAAAACATTTTTTTTTGGAGTGTTTATGTGAGAATGTCTGTGGTTGTGTGCAACTGTCAGTGTTTTAGAGGGCCCATTCACACTAGTACAGTGCATTCATTACACAGTCCCATGCGATTAACGCACTGTACCATGCAATTGCACCTACCGCTGTTTCTGGTGCAGGAGGTGCGTTGCCATTTGCCTGCACCAGAACGTGGGGTACTGCAATGCCATTATGTTGCGATTTATTGTCATGTGTGAGTCCTGAGGTTACACAGGTTGAGAACCACATCTCTAGAGAACCATAATAGTATCGTTTAATCCACCGCCAGGCCTGTCACTATCAAGCCACTCCAATATTATCCCAGTGTTACCTGTAAGTTTCTAGTAAATCCTTGGGTATAATTATTTATATTTAACTTGGCATTATAGAGTTGGGGATCCAATTGCTAGGGAAGCCACTGGGGGAAGTTATTTACTGCAGTTGTTATCACCATTTCCCCTCACTTTCAGATTTGGTGACCCAAAGACTGAAAGGGAGAGGAAATGTTCTCTACAGGGACCAGACAACAGTAAGACACACATGGCAATACAAAACAATACCAATGTTCTGATTCCTCCTCAATCTGTCAAAAATATTTTTTGGACCTACTTATTTTCTTGGGTGTGTAAACCCTAAAAAATAAATTCTCTTTTTTTATACCTTTGGTCCGGTAAGTATACCATTAAAAGCATTTTGTTTTGTCTATTTGTAAAGTGTAAAATGTATTTATTTATTTCCAGAAATCTTGTTAGCTGATAACTTCCTGTGCTCCCTGTCTGTGCTGCACTCTTATCAGTCATATTATTGTAAGGACTGCAAAACCCTTTTATGTTATGGAGGCAAAGAGAAGGGAAGGTTTCACTAGTCTTGTCCTGTTTCTGTTGTCTTGATAAAGTACAACAACTGAGTGTTGTCACTGGGGGACAGGAAGTCCACAAGGTGGAAATATAGTAAAAAAAATGCTAATGCTACAGGCATATCTTAAAGCGACACAAACCCCTCAGCTTTTTATCCTTATGCACATCTACACAATGAACATTGTCCAAAGCCACATATATTTATGTTTTAAAATAAAGTCTAAGGCCCCGTTCTCACTGCGCGATATGCAAATCGCGCGATATCGCAAGATTTGCCGCGCGATATCGCGTGCAAGCTTGCAGTCAGCAAGCTTGAATCGCGGCTTAATTCGCTCCAAAAAGGGTCCTGCTGTAGCGACACACGACCCGCGACAGCAGGACCCTTTGCCCCATTGAAATGCATTGGAGCGCGGTAATTTGCCGCGATAGCGCGGGAATTACCGCGCGATAAATCGCTTAATGTGAACAGGGCTTTACTATTTTAATCCCTTTAGAAAGTCTGCTGTGCTTGCTCCCGTGTCTCTTCTCTCCCCTCACACTTCCTGTCCCTCAGAAAGAGCCGTGCACCTTGATTCTGGTCACGTGTACATCTTTCTTTGCCTACAACTCCCAAGAGGCAGAGAGGAATCATCTCTCACTGCACACAGCTGCCTCCTCCCCCTTCCTCACTATACACACTGTGACAGTGTCACTGCTTGTAATCTCCTCTGCAATGCTCTGAATTATCAAAACTACTGACAACAAATCTATAACAATCAAGTTTACAACAATCTACACAGAAAAACAACTTTATTTCCAATGTAGGAGACGTATCCTCTGTGACTGTGTGACCAGATTCAGCATGTGAGCTGAGACTCGGAAGAAAGTATGAGGCTGATGACAGCTCACATGATGAATCTCCTCACAAGGAGCTCCCCCCACACTCCCTCCTTGCTGAGCCAGGAGGAGAGAAATCAAAGATCATATATTAGTGTGAAGACATCCCAGCTACTTGCAGACTCTAGAGGGGAGGATTTGTGGGTGGAGACTGAGAAGACATGCCCCCCGCATGTTGTAGTCTTTCACATGAACCAGCACAATGGGTGGCTACTTTTCCGCATGCATAGGGACCATGGAGACGAAAAGTAGCCACCCTCTGGCAATAAGTTTTGGATGGAGAAAAATAAGGCGGATTTTGGAGCATTTAGAGCTGAACAATGATAAAATAAGTTTCACAGTCATTTATTATTTAAATAATAGAAGTTACTTTTATTATTTCATTTTTGAGTTTAGTGTCGCTTTAAGACTGATAAGATGCTATATATTGCATTTGTATTTTGGGGTTGGGTACGCTTTAAGTGATAAATCTGTTACTGTATCAAAGAAGCTTTTTTATCATTTCAATTTCCTTAGCTCTTTTTACTTGGTGACATTGTTTTGTGCAGTTTTGTATAGGGATGTCCCGATACCACTTTTTCAAGACCAAGTACAAGTACTGTCCCTCATGTACTTGCCGATACCAATTACCGATACTTTTTCTTAAAGGGACATGTGATATTTTTAATAAAACAATACAGACTAATTCCCCCCCCCCCCCCCCCCCCATGCTGTCACACTTCCGGAGAGGTCAGAGCGGAGAGGGAGCCTCGTTTGGTGGAGAGGTATGCCGGGGGAGGGGCTATGGGGGTCAATGGCCGAAGCGAGTTAAAAAAATGTAAATGGCCGGTATCTGATCTAGGCATTGGGGCATTTTCAGGAGTACAAGTACTCCTGAAAATGCCCTGTATCGGCCCCGGTACTAGCATCGGTATCGGGACATCCCTAGTTTTGTATTATGGCTATGAGAGATTACATGTAAGGGGCTTATACTGGAAAGATGTTTTATTATCATGTTTTTTTTTTCTTTTCCCCAGAATGGTGCTACAATGACCTGGTCTCCCCCCTCTATTTCACATCATTTGATGCTTCATCAAGATATTCTCTTTTGTACACTGCAAACTTTGCACGACTATTTGGTAAGCACTCTTTTCTAATTATCACCTAACATGTTTAAATGGTTTTACTTATACCTTTTTTTTTTTTTTAGAAAGCTAAGCATTTTCTTATCAAATGTTTAATTTAGGTGCTTGCAGGGGTCAGTACTGAATTCACATATTTTTACTTGCTACACCTTTGTGTGATTGCTGAGAGGAATAAGCATATAAAAGAAAAATCTAGGCTGTAAAAAATATGATTCGGAAATTATTTTATTTATTAGAGGTATTTATAAAGTGCCAACAATTTACTCAGTGCTTTACATTCACATCAGTCCCTGCCCTTAAGAACTTACAATCTAAGGTCCCTATCTCACACACATACATGAGACCATTTACCTTCCAGCATGTCTATGGGGTGGGGGAAGAATCTGGAATACCCAGAGGAAATCCACACAAGCACAGGGAGAACATGCAAATTTCTTGCAGATAGTGATCTGGCTGGGTTTCAAACCAGGGACTCCCAGTGCTGAACAGAATTGCTAATCACTACACCACTGTGCCTTTAGGTTAGTGGGTTTTCCTTTGGTGATATGGTTCTCGAATCCTACAGAACCTTTCCTATAAACTGAGAAAAGCTAGATAAGGTAGGCACATAAAATAAGAGGAAGCTATGAAGTAGGTATAGAGCAGGCCAGAGGGATTATGCAGTGTCTCCCAGCTAATCTGGGTAGGTATTGTTGCCCGTAACGGGCATGGCTTTGTGACTAGACAGGGTGAAGTCTTAGATGGGCTGGTCATTCTTTTGTTTTTGTGGTTTCCACTATTACATACATACAGGTGAAACTCGAATAATTCGAATATCGTGCAAAGTTCATTTATTTCACTAATGCAACTTAAAAGGTGAAACTAATATATGAGATAGACTCATTACATGCAAAGCAAGATAATTCAAGCCGTGATTTGTCATAATTGTGATGATTATGGCTTACAGCTCATGAAAACCCCAAGAACCCCAAATCCACAACCTCAAAAAAGTAGATTATTACATGCAATCAATAAAACAAGAATTGTACATAGAACAATATCGGACCTCTGAAAAGTACAAGCATGCATATGTACTCAGTACTTGGTTTGGGCCCCTTTTGCAGCAATTACTGCCATTACTTTTGCACGATATTCTAATTATTCGAGTTTCACCTGTAGGTAAAAAATGACTATGATATTTCTTTCATTACAGGAAGTAGTGGGTGGTCTCCTGCCCAAGGGGATAAACATCCTTGGCTTCAGATAGACTTGAAGAGGAAATATAAAATAATGGGAGTTGCGACTCAGGGAACCTATAACACTTATTACGATTGGGTGACCCGGTACATCCTGCTGTATGGGGATCGTCCAGACAGCTGGAAACCATTTTTTCAGCTGGGCACTAACTGGGTAAGTGTCATTGTCTACATAATAATAATAATAAACACATGCTTTTACATTACAGTACAAAGTCCAGCCAAAACTTTTTTTTAGATAGAATGGGAATGGTTTAGAAGTCCTTTAAGGTTTTTATGGCTGCCTTTGTTCCCACTGGGGATATTTCTTCTCACTTTCTGTCCTGCAAATACAACAGGAAGTGAGAGAGTTGTCCTCTGAAGTAAGGGGATACTTTGTGCAGGTGCCTTTGAGGTTAAATATGCATTTTTAGATCTCCCTATACTTTCTGTCCTTTGGCCATTGGCTACCAAAACAGAAATTAGATAAATCTCCTGAACTTGGATACAGACAGCAGAAAAAAACTGACAAGGATTCTAACCCATCTTCACTATAACCAAAAATAGAAAAAACCTTTCTGGCTAAAGTTCCACTTTCTAAAAGACACCATCCACTAATATGCAAACCTCCTTAGCTGGGGCAACAAGAAAATATTAATTGAAGCCAATTTATTGTTTGTCTCTAATATTACTAAGTAATGTAACAAATATATTTGTGATGTTGTTAAAGTCAGGACTGTCCCTAAGGTTTTCGCCGCCTGAGGTGATGTTGTCTCAGGGGGTGGGGTGGGCTGGGACTGGCAGAGACGGAGAATCAGAGAATGTTCACCAGGAGAAAAGGGGGGAGGGAATGCCACATCGTGCTTTCGGCGGTTCTGTCTGGTGTCCTGCCCAGCTTACTGACATCACTAGCTCGGCTCCTGGCAACCGGTGATGTCAGTAAACTGTGTAGGAAACCGCAAAAGAGAGTCACAGGTTACTAAGAGCTTTGCGGCCACCCCTGCCACCTCACCACCACCCGGCTGCCCCACAATGAGATGTCTCCGGAGGCAACCACCTTAGGCTGCCCTGGTTAAAGTGTTGTAGGTGAAGGGATTGTTCCTAGGCCCGACAGCCTAGGTGAGGCTCAGGCTACCATTGAGGACCTCCTTATATTAATACTGTGGGAAGGTTTCCATTGATCCTCTCTATAATTATTGGAAGGCACCGCATGTTTCCCTTTTTCCTGTATCACCTTTTTTTTCTTCCACCTTTTATCATTCAACCATCTTTGAGTTCCAGTCAGTGACTTTTCCTTGGCTGAGATAATGTCATCGGTTTGCTGCAAGCAGGAGGAAGCATTTTCTCAGTCTTCTGACTCAGTAATCTGACTGCATCACTGTAAATAAGTATTAAACTCTCAAACTTATTTTTCAATAATGAATCCAGATCCAACAAATATACATTGCCCTGCAAAGTATTTCTTTCCATTTTCTCCAAGCACTTACAGTCATCATGTTTCCAAACAGCTCCAACTCTTTCAGCCCCACTTCCCTGAAATTTTTGTCTAGGACAAGACTACAAGCAACAGAGCAGTCTCCAGCAACTGTCCGTCTACTAGCTTGGAGTAGGGAGGAGGAACAGGGAGCATGGGAGTGGCTTGCCTTACTGTGTCTGTGAGTTTGTGAAGACACGCAAAACTTTCTGTGACACACCAAGGTGGCTCCATAGGACTCTGCAGGGGAAAGGAGCCACTTCAAAACAGGAAGTCAGGACCAGAGCTCAGAGGACCAGCTGATTCTGCAGGAAACTAAAACTTTTACACATCAAGGAGCAGCATCTGTTGTTAGTGAGGCTACAGAAAGGGCTTATCTGTATCACACATTTGTGAGCACAGCCAAGAACTGCACAGGCATCAAGATTTATATGATTGTGTCATCTCTGAGCCTGCTTCTTGGACCAGGAAGTAGATGGTGACCCTGGATGAAGCCTGAACAAAGATGGTGCCATCCTTGTAGAGAGAAAAGCAGATGAAGGCATTGTCAGGGGGAGTACTGTGATCTCTGTGATCTGTAATACATATCTGGAACTGTTTCATTGGTGTATTACTTAGCATGCATGAACCTAACAGAAAATCATACTGTATATCTGATGCCATATTCACTTTCAGACTGCGTTTGTTAACTTGGACATATATATTATATAGGACTTGAATTCAGTTATATTATACACAGGCTATGTCATTTTCATGTTGTTAAGGTACAGTCACCAGTGCTCTATTAAACTGAATATGATTTTATGGACAATAGTACTGCTGAGATTTCATTTTTAAACTAATCTCTCTTTTATACCACAGACCTTTTTTGGCAATGTCAATACATCTGGGGTGATTGAACATCGTCTCCACTATCCTATCAAGGCTCGCTACGTCCGCTTCATTCCTGTGGCCTGGAACCCAAAAGGAAAGATAGGACTTCGAGTGGCATTGTATGGCTGTGAATACAGTATGTACGAACCTATACATAAGGCACACTAATGTATTTTAGCTTAGAAATTGTATAAATTGTAATGGTCTGATGGTAAGATAACCCAGCTTCCCTCTGGAAACCTGTATTTCCATATAGGACCAAGTAACAGGCTCACTGATATCAGGCATAGTAAGGAACCATTCCACCACTATAATAACTATGTAAGCTCCAATCAACCCAAAGTGAGAGTGTTTGGGCCTGGAGTGGCTGCTCTGGCACCAAGCACTGCATTGTGGGAGGCAGAAGAGAGAATACATGGAAGTACTGGGTTGTTTTCATGGTCCTGGCAGCCAAATAGGGCACCAAGGGAGGAGGTGAAAGGTGACTAATTGCTCTTTACCTTGTGGGACATCTAGAAATATTAATTGTTACTAAGCAGTACCCTGAAAGGCCTGCAACCATATCATAGCTGTATATCTGCTGTGTGAGATGGAGATTCTCCGTAAAGGCTAGTCTAATGAGATTTGGCTGCAGGCAGCCTATAGTCCAGGGATCCTCAAACTATCTAAACAAAGAGCCATTTCCTTGTCCTTCAGACCTTAAGGGGACAGACTGTGGTCAGACACTTAACTTTTTTGTTACCACATAGGGGGATAAGAATCCCCCTATGTGATATCAAATTACAGTGACATTTCCACTTTATGGAGACATCAGGGGTCTCAAAGACACCTAGTGTCACCTAGGGACCCCCAGAGAAGCTGATGAAGCACAGATGTGAAAATGCCCAGTGTTGGTGAGCAACGGAAGTAAAAAATTACTTAGTGCCTGTGGTTGTTGAGAAGAGGAATAATATCCCATCATTGGTTTCAGGGGAAGGAATAGTGCCCCATTTTTGGTATCAGTTGGAGCAATAGTGTGCCATTGGCAATGCCAGTGGAATGAATAGTGCCCCATTGTCAGTGAGGGAAATAGTGTGCCATCATTGGGGTCACTGGGAGGAATACTTCCCCATCATCGGTATAAGTAGAAGGAATAGTGCTCCATTGTTGATACCAGTGGAAGGAATAGTGCCCCATCGTCGATACCAGTGGAAGGAATAGTTCCCCATCGTTGATACCAGTGGAAGGAATAGTGCCCCATCGTTGATACCAGTGGAAGGAATAGTGCCCCATCGTTGATGTAAGCAGAAACAGTGCCTCAAGGGCTGGTTGCAAGGAAACAAAGGGCTGCAACCTGCACTCAGGCCGCTGTTCAGAGACCACTGCTATATGCAATACTGATTACTAGTCCTTTGGCTTCTGCTTACCTTTTTTGGGGCACGGATTCCACAGTTCGGGTCATCTTTAAATGTATTCTGAAAGGGCAAAATACATATTTGCTTTAGAATACAGTTATTCCCTTACTCTGTAGCAGAAAGCTGCAAAGAATGTGGTTGTGCTGCTTTATACTGTATATTGTTCTGTATCTGCCCCCCCCTTCCCCAGTAGCTGATCTAAATTGAATTTATAATAACTTTATCTAATTAGTGACCTTCTGCATGTCAAAGCCTTTTTTTCTTGATGACAAAGAGGATCAGTGCATACCTCTAGACTCCATCCATCTATTTTATCCCACCTCCCTCCCTTTCCACAAACATATAAGTGTCTCCTTGAAACTAAATTCTCATTCTGAAGTGAGAAAACTGGTCGTATGACTAGCAAAACGTCTTCAAGAAAAATATAGCAAGTCCAGCTGCCTTGATTTAGTTTTTTTTACAGATACTTCTACTATTTCCTCTCTAATGTGTCCCTCTGTGTCCTCAGACCATGATGTCCTGTCATTTGATGGCGATGACCTTATTTCATACCAGTTCAGGAAGAAAACTAATCGCACACTGGAAGATGACATCTCTTTTAATTTTAAAACACTGGAGAAGGAAGGAGTACTAATGCATGCTGAGGGGACTCAAGGCGACTACATCACACTGGAGTTACTGAAGGCTCAGCTATTCTTCAGGATGAGTCTCGGTATGGAGCACTTTAATTCAGAAATTCACAGAAAGAACACAGAGGAACTAGGCAACATTTACGCATATTTTTATTAGTATAAATAAGAGAAAGTTAAAAAATGTTTGATAGCAATGGAATTTGATAAGAATAAATTAGGGGTGGTAATGATCAAAATGTTCGTGTTAGATTAATTGAAATTGTTTAAAATCGATGAATTGATTAATTTCGATTAATTATAACGCACATACAGATCCAACTACATTGGCCTATACACAACAGCAATGAGGTAATAAAATGAACTAGGATCACACTAATCCAGCACGTTATTAATCTCACATGCCCCACTCAATATGGCCGCCGCTTGAGTGGGGCAACTCCGAATAATAACGCGCTGGATTACAAATGTATTTACATAGTATAGTAAAACAGCAAAGCCCTAAGGGTGATTTAAACACAAGTATAAGCTTAATATTTGAAGTAGCGGCACCTGTCCATTCCATTTCATGTAAGGACCTGATTGCAACATAATATCAGTAAATTTCAATGGGCACATTTCTGGGAGCGAGATGGGTGGGTTAATGGAGAGCCACATAGTGCATATAGATAAGACAGAAGCTTGGTGCTTCTTGGGTAAACTCACCGGCCCAAGTGGCTCCGTTGGCTAACGAAGTGAAGGGCGGAGGAGTCCGGTGACCTCACGGACATTGACGTCACCGGACTCCTCCCCCTTCCCTTCGTTAGCCGACGGAGCCACTTGGGGAAGGGGGGAGGAGTCCGGTGACGTCGATGTCCGTGATGTCACCGGATCTCCGACGGGACTCCCGTAAGCCAGCAGAGAGGTGAGTCTTTTCATTTTCGATCAAAAGAATTTTAATCGATCAAAAAGTTTAACGATTAATGGAGGAATTAATCGTTAATTTGCCCAGCCCTAGAATAAATGTATATGACAGTATAATGTTTTTTTGCAAGCAAGACCAGGGCCGTGCCAATGATGAGGCAGTTGCCTCAGGTGGCATCTCAATGAGGGGAGGCAGGTGTTGGGAGGGGAGAAGCCACAGTGCCTCAGTTTGCTAAGAGCTCTTAGCAACCTGTGACTCTCAATCTGACTTCTTGCCCAGCTCACTGATGTCACCAGTTGCCAGTAGCTGAGTGGGACATTCTGGCTGGCATCCCGCCGAGCTCCTGGCAACCAGTGACATCAGTGAGCTGGGCTGGGCGGGAAGCAGGACAGAGCCTCTGACAGCATGGCGACCAACTTTCCAACTCATATCACTTACATCGAGGACAAACTCGTTAAGAAGTTTATTTATTGAAGTATAATTATAAGCAATGAAAAATAGACCTTACATACCAGAAACCTATTGAATAAAGTTACATTTTCCTTAATTATCCCTCCCATGGCTAACAGGCAACAGCCCCCTCCATCCAGTAGATAGTCACACAGTTGCCACACTGGGGAGTTTGCTGGATGACCAGGCGTGGCATTCCATATATATTCAGCGCAATGGACGTGACCTCAACATAACTCTAGATGGAGAAGTACAAAGGATACGATGCAAAGGGGACTTCGACCAGCTAGACCTGGACACTGAGGTATGATTCAGCAGTCAATACTGTGTATATCTTCTATTACATCCATGCTGGTTGACAAAGAAAACATGTTATATTATATATACTGGGATAAGAGTACTGGGACAAAATATTGAAGCAAGCAGAAATCAGTATACTGCTAAGGTTATCTGGGAAAAATGTAACCAGGGCACATTCGTTCATAATGGAGAGCAGGAAGCAGAGCGGTGAACGTCTGTTCTCTGCTCTGCTCTGCTCTGTGAAAACAGTGAGAGGGGAGAGCTGCACTCACAGCCTTCCCATATCAGCTGTCACAAGAAAGCCAGCACAGTGCTGTGCTAGAACTCCTGTATTGGAGGTGGCAGGTTCAATAAAGAGAACCTGTCACCTCCAACTGCTATCACACAGGTGCTTGTTAGTTCCTGTGTAAAAGTAATAAAGGTATGTGAAAAAAACCATTCAAATAAAAACAAAAATTGCTAAAAATAATAAAATAAATAAAAATGTAAAAAAATAAGTAAAACATAATAAGAAATAATGAATTTTAAAAAAAGTTAAAAAGTGATAAAAGTAAAACATAATAAAATTAAAATTAAAAAAATAAAGTAAAGTAAACAAAATAAATATATCTGCATTGGGGGTGGAGCGCATTGAGGAACCTGGCCCTTGGGGCAGCAGCAAGAGTAAATCCGGCCCTGACTATAGATACAGTACAGCGAGTAAGTGTTTATCACCCTAGGACACCACGCATATTACTGGCAGGACCACCATTTGAAAATAAGGGCAAAAAAGCCTGAAAAAAAACAAACTAATGCACTACCACATCTACGGATTGGTAAGCTGCAATATATAACATTTTTGTACTTGGGTTTCAGTATGCTTTCATTTTCCATTTGTAATTCATAGAGGGGAAGTTATCAAGACTGGAGCGGACAAAATCTGGAGCAGATGTCCATGGCGACCAATCAGCTTTTCAGCTTTTCTCAATTTTCAAAGCTTAACTGAACAAACTGAAGAGAAGCTTTTTGGTTACTATGGGCTACTGTTCCAGATTCTGTCTGATCCCATTTTGGTAAATTAATTCCAATGTCCCTTAAAGTTTGTGCTTGACTCTTGCTGGATTATAAAACTCCTGGCAAACAGTAAAATGCACTAATGAGATACAGAACATACAGTGGGGCAAAAAAGTATTTAGTCAGCCACCAATTGTGCAAGTTCTCCCACTTAAAAAGATGAGAGAGGCCTGTAATTGGCATCATAGGTAGACCTCAACTATGAGAGACAAAATGAGAAAACAAATCCAGACAAATCACATTGGCTGATTTGGAACAAAATTTATTTGCAAATTATGGTGGAAAATAAGTATTTGGTCACCTAAAAACAAGCAAGAGTTCTGGCTCTCACAGACCTGTACCTTCTTCTTTAAGAGGCTCCTCTGTCCTGCACTCATTACCTGTATCAATGGCACCTGTATCAATGGGACCAACGTAACAAAGGCTACCATCAGTAACACACTACGCCGCCAGGGACTCAGATCCTGCAGTGCCAGACGTGTCCCCCTGCTTAAGTCGCTTACTTCCCAACATCAAGTATACAGTTCAAGTATTCCTATACAAGTCCAAACATCAAGTATACAGTTCAAGTATTCCTATACAAGTCCAAACATCAAGTATACAGTTCAAGTATTCATATACAAGTCCCAACATCAAGTATACAGTTCAAGTATTCATATACACGTCCCAACATCAAGTATAGTGTTCAAATGCTAAAATGATGCTGCTGGTAAGCCATATGATGAATATACATTATATGCTAGTCGATGTCACCAAGATCACTTGTAATAAGATTGCAGGATAAAAATTAAAAAATTAAAATAAAACAAAGAAAAAATAAAGCTAACCCTGCTGCTCCCACCATCTAGTTGCCAATCTGCATTGGGGGTGGAGCGCATTGAGGAACCTGGCCCTTGGGGCAGCAGCAAGAGTAAATCCGGCCCTGACTATAGATACAGTACAGCGAGTAAGTGTTTATCACCCTAGGACACCACGCATATTACTGGCAGGACCACCATTTGAAAATAAGGGCAAAAAAGCCTGAAAAAAAACAAACTAATGCACTACCACATCTACGGATTGGTAAGCTGCAATATATAACATTTTTGTACTTGGGTTTCAGTATGCTTTCATTTTCCATTTGTAATTCATAGAGGGGAAGTTATCAAGACTGGAGCGGACAAAATCTGGAGCAGATGTCCATGGCGACCAATCAGCTTTTCAGCTTTTCTCAATTTTCAAAGCTTAACTGAACAAACTGAAGAGAAGCTTTTTGGTTACTATGGGCTACTGTTCCAGATTCTGTCTGATCCCATTTTGGTAAATTAATTCCAATGTCCCTTAAAGTTTGTGCTTGACTCTTGCTGGATTATAAAACTCCTGGCAAACAGTAAAATGCACTAATGAGATACAGAACATACAGTGGGGCAAAAAAGTATTTAGTCAGCCACCAATTGTGCAAGTTCTCCCACTTAAAAAGATGAGAGAGGCCTGTAATTGGCATCATAGGTAGACCTCAACTATGAGAGACAAAATGAGAAAACAAATCCAGACAAATCACATTGGCTGATTTGGAACAAAATTTATTTGCAAATTATGGTGGAAAATAAGTATTTGGTCACCTAAAAACAAGCAAGAGTTCTGGCTCTCACAGACCTGTACCTTCTTCTTTAAGAGGCTCCTCTGTCCTGCACTCATTACCTGTATCAATGGCACCTGTATCAATGGGACCAACGTAACAAAGGCTACCATCAGTAACACACTACGCCGCCAGGGACTCAGATCCTGCAGTGCCAGACGTGTCCCCCTGCTTAAGTCGCTTACATTTTGATCTTTCTTCATGCAAAGTTCCACAACTTCAGTGTGAAATACAATCATCCGCCACCAAATGACAAGCCAAGCTCATCAGATAAGGAGGGCCTCCAAATAATAGAAGGTCAATAGCGTTTACATAGTGTAACATCCAGAACAACCAATAACAATCTTCAGGGATTCATCATCAAACCCATGGTGAAATTGACAAGCAGAGACAAAAGCAGATCTAATAGTCTAATACTGTTTATTTAAGACCAGAAAATTGGACCAATTAAGATCAATTGGAACATGTAAGCAGAAAACTTGCACATAGCGCTATGAATACCGCATACAATAATAACAGATCCTGACGTCCATGCAGCCTCAGCTGGCATAACTAGCGTACGTGTCCTAAGCGTTTCGCCATTAGACTTCGTCAGTGGCACATACATGCTGGTGTGTTTCCTGACATGGTATTTTATAACCTGCGCTGGAGTTGTGTAAACTAGGGCTAAAATCTAAGTAAAAAATTTCTGCACCCAAGACCTGTACCTTGTTTGCCATACAATCCCATGTAGACAACCTGCAAAGGTTTATTTTGTGTCTGTATTAAAATTTATACTGATTTTTCTTTGTGCCTAGATATTTTTTGCTGGTATTGCATATCAGGATAAAAGCATCTCGCATAAGCAGAACTTTCGTGGTTGCTTGGAGAATATTATCTATAATAATGTTCGCATTGCTGATCTTGCCAGGAGAAACAAATCATCCATCCGTATTATGGTAAGTTAAGGTTGATGTGTGTGGGAAAATTGCAGATAGCAATCTGAATTAACATTATATTAGCATGCAGAACAACATTATATGATCTTTAGGTTCAGGGGTTCCCAAACTTTTTAAACAAAGGGCCATTTCATGTCCATCACTCTTTTTAGAGACCAGACTGAGGTGAGCAGGAGTAAAAAAAATGTCCCAGCATGGGAGGTCAGGGGAAGTAAAAGATGCCCATGCATTGGTGTCAGTGGGAGTAATAAAAGGCCACCCAACCTCCTTGGACATTGGTATCAGTGGGAGTAATAAACCAGCAAAGGTGTTAGTGGAAGTAGAAAAATACCTCCCCCTTCTGAATATTGGTGTTAGTGGGAGTAATAAGAGATCCTTCCCCTTCCTGGCTATTGGTGTTGGCAGGCTAATAAAAGACTCCACCCTGGTATTGGTACCAGTAAGCTAATAACAAACCCCCCTCCCCCAGGTTTAGTACCAGTGGGCTAAAAAAAGAAACCTTCCCCCCTGGCATTGGTGTGCAGACTTAACTTGCCTCCTTTTAGGTGCCATATCATGTGGGACTATACAGGCACTACCTGGCAGTGTATTACAGCCCCCAACAGTACTTATAATTGATTGCTTGCTCCCCTGCCATGCAATGAGAAAGCACTGCATGCAGGGGCCTTCTAATTGTGGGGGCTCTGCTAATGTAAACACCAGGCCATAACTGGCCCGTGGGCCGTAGTTTGGGGATCGCTGTCCTAGTCGTTGCCTTTGCTACCAACCCCACCTCTTTTTCTTTCTGCGGGAGCATGCAGTGTTTATAAATTGGTGTTGCATTTTTTGTTCTAAAATGTGGAGCAAAGTGATCGTGTAACTTCCCAACTTCTATAAGGTCATTGACTTATTGAGTTGTAATTCCTCCTAAGCAATATGCAGCAAGTCAAGAAGATCCACACTTTTCTACTCCCAGGTTCCATGGTGCTGATATGATTGGTATTCAAGATTGTTGAGCAGTATTTCTTAAGCTAAACTCCAGCCTTACCTCCAGTCTTGCACAGTTGTACAGACTCCTGTACTGAAAATGCTTGGTCTCATTTCACTGTACATTGCAAGCTTCTCAGAGTGTTCATTAGAAGCCGCAGCAAGTCAGATAGAACCGTCTCATCTCCTGGCTGTCCCTGGTCTGCCCTTGTTATTCATTGAATTTAATGTATTTCAATCATGGAGACTCAGCATTACATGTGGGCAGTACCCAAGGCAGTGTGCTGCTTTCGGGAAACTATGCACAGTCATGATCTGCCTGCATTGCATAGAGAAACAGAGAGAGCCAGTGATTATATCACTGGGCATAAAAAAAAGGTTTTATTTAAAAATACAATTAGCATGTTGAAGTTGGGAAAGATGAACCAGGGAAGGCAAAATATAAGCAGATTAACTTTCAGCTTCCATTTTTTCCAAGCTTACTGCTAGGAGTCATTCCCATTTTATTAAAAAGACTTTATATGGTGTTCAACCATTGTTCATTAGTGTGACTTGTTGTTGCTCCACCAGAAATACCTTCTAGCTCCCAGGTCAAAACCTGTGTTACTCATATAGTTACATCTTTTTTTCCGTACCAATAAAATGAATTGCCTTACAGTAATAGAAGATTGTTGCTTCAATTTGACCTCCAGGGAAATTTCAAAACTATCCTTGCAGTAGGGCTTCCCCTGAAATTCAAGGGTTAAATGCTAATTTTTATCTAGGTTAGACATGTAAATTTTGTTTAATTTCAAATGGCTATTCGTACGAATTTCGTTAAATTCCGACATTCGGATGCATCTGAATTTCTGAATTTGAATGAGTCCGAATGCAAACGAATCCGAATGTTCGTTTAAGGAAATTCGGATCCGTCCGAATTTCATTCAAAACTGAACTAAATTAGACATGTGGTCAATCATATTTTTGGGGGGCTTTGGGAGGTTGCATTACAGGCAAGTCATGTGACTTCGCTCCAAAACAAAAATTTGTATCGTTTCGAAACAAAACTTCGGACAGATCCAAAATCCGAAGGAAATTAAAATCCGAATCGTTCCGAAACAAAACTATTTTTTGCAAGGTTAAATGTCTGATCTAGGTTACATTAACAAACTGTTTTACTTAGCTTATCCCTCTCTCCGTGCGGCCGGTCCCCCAAAGCTGCTTCTCTTTGGGGCTCTGTCAGTTGCAGGCACATTATCACATACAATGCAGGGCCAGATGTCCTGCATTGTAAGTGAGGACACAGAGGACCTGCCCACAAGCCAGAGCATCAGAGAGAAGAGGACAGTGCTGGCTGCCAAGGTCATGAGTGATAAAGCAAGTGCAACTGTTTTTTAATGGTACCCTGGACAAAATCGAGCATTTACCCTTGAAGCATTGAGGGAGCCACACTGCAAAGATGGTTTTAATATTTCCATGGTATCGAGCTTTAATCTTACCACCTGCAACATATATCTATCATAAAATTAATTTTGCTCAGGTTAAAAACCCTCAGCTATTCATTCAGATTACAGTACTATGCCACTGTATAATTTCACACTGCGTACTAAGTGTTAAACCTGAATTCTCTCTCCCACATAAAACGTTAATTTAGGATAAGACTACATTATCCGTATGAGTGGAACATATAACTTGATAATTAGTTTGCAACTGCCTGAAGCTGCTTATTAATTCAGAAGCCGCTCTACTAACGAAATGCACGCTGGGATAAATCAATAGTATATACTACAGATGTCTGATGTCCTTTGTAATGAAACTTCAAACAGAAAGGGAACACTATTTAATTTTCAATGACATATAAAAAACAAAAAACAAAGCCATAGCTTGTTATAGTCACCAGGCATATTTGTAAAAGTCAAGGTCTATAACTGTGCATAAAGTCTGTTTGCCTTCAAGAGATCCTTTGAGCAGCCCATTCATTTCCACAACCATCTTCCCTTACGAGTATACTATATGTGCATTTAACCTATTTTAGGCATGTTATATACCTTGAAAAGCTTCCCTTGTGTAGATATCCAGAAGTCCTGATACTGCTGTTGAGTACTGCCATCTTGGAATTGATGTCAGCAGTCCCAACAGACTCAGAGCTGTCATTCGAGTAAACAATCTTTAGTATTCCCTTTCACTGTTCCCCGACTGCTAAATAAAATGTTATGTAGGGAGGAGAGAGCTGGAGGAGCTAGGACAGCACAAAGTGTAATTAGACACCTCCAAAAGTTGGTGACTGGGTATCTTTTTAAAGTATCTAAATCCAACATGTTTTTCTTTTAGAGTAGATAGAGTACCTCTTCCAGGTTTTTTGCCATTTGTGTCCCACTGGTATGAGTTCTGTCCACTTTTTGTACTGTAGATGCAGGAAGTAAACAGGAAGTGAGGGGAAATCTCTCCAAAGTAAGGGAAAGGACATCTGCCATTGGAACAAACATCCCCATTATATGAATTCTCCTCTATTCTTGTTTTGGCCACAAAAAGTACAAATCTCTATAATGGGACAGCATGGCACAGACAGCACAATGAAGAAAAGAAAGGTTTTGGCTTTGATATGCTTTAATGGGTATTCCACACAAAACCGTTTTTATTCTCAGGAGGACGCCAGCAGTTTCAAGTGACTGGTAGTTCATGGGAAAGTTTGGGGAACCTGCCTGGGAGATGAGACCTCCTCCCCCCCCACACACATACATACTTTTCTTGAGTTCCAGGTTTACTTGTTGCAACCAGCAAGGTTTTCATCCCCTACTGAACAATGGGTCACCCAGGCCACGTTGAATTCTTATGTTCCTAAAGCGAATATAAGAGTTGAGTGATATCAGTTTTGGTATAGAGCCAAATGTTAAAATTACAACTAGTGAAAGAGACTAAGGGTTCAGGTCATGGGAGGGATGACTGAGTGGATTTTTTCAGCACTGGGTTTAGCACAAAATGTATTCATGTTTTGGCCTTTTCACACTAGGCTTTGTTGTGATAACCTGTGACCTGCAACATGCTTGATCGTGCATTTTGGCACTCTGTGCTGCCACAGACCATTCATTTTCACTGGGCTTCCAACATAGGAAAAATTGTTCCTAGCATAGGTGCATTGGAGAACCGCTCAAAACAAATGGTACAATAACACCGTACTTGGTGTGCTACTGTGCATTGTGGTAATTTATTTTTTTTACCACGTTACAGCAACATGATGGTGTGAATGGGCTCTTACAGAAGTGAAATAATGAAACCATAAATGAGGGTCACAGACATGTAGTTGCGAAGGAAAATGATAAAAGTGGCTAGAATAGGGCTTTAACATTGCAGTTTACATTCTTCTGATCCTATGAAAAACCTAAAATATGGGGTTTAACTGTATCAGCAGTACTATGACTACTATTTGTCAATAGAAGTTTCTTTGTATCCATTGTGTTTACCATTACACTAAAATTCCATTTTGTACCAAATCACAGGGTCGTGTACGTACCTCCTGTATGGAAATGCCTTATGTTCCTGTCACATTTTCTGGCATCAATAACTACCTAATGGTGCCAGGGGTTCCAGCCAACATTAAGATGATGGTAAGCTTTAAATTCCGGACCTGGGACACCATTGGCCTTTTGCTCTTCACCAATTTTGCTGGTTCCATGGGATCACTGGAAATGGCATTGAGTGAGGGTCAAATCAACGTCACCATCTCCCAACCAAACAGGAAGAAGCTGGTGTTTGCCGCTGGTGAGTGGGGAATCCTCACACAATGCATGGCAGACTGCTTGCTGGCTGATGAAGAATGAATTAGTTCAATGGGCATGTAAATATTTTATTATAAGCTACTCCATGTATACATCATGTACTGGTCAGCTTTAGCAATAAAATCAACTTTACAGGAATTTACTGCTATTGCCTTATTTCGTAGAAGGGGCTGGACATAGAACAATAAGCAGGCCACCTTCAGGTATTTACTTTAAATTGTGTATGCATATTTTTTTGTGCTTGGCATGTAGAGACATTTAGAACACGGGGCCAGGCCTGATCATAAACTGTATTCCCTAAGATGGCTCCAGATCCACCCTAACCAAGTCTCACAATACAATTATTCACATTATGCTGCTTTAGTGTCACCTAGTATTCACTGTAGTATATTACAATGTGTACATGGCATTATTATTAATATTATTATTATGATCAGCTGAATCCCAGTGCATTAGCAAAAGATGTTACCTGTAAATGTTACAGCATGGAAGATTGAAGAATCTAAGGTAAAGGTCTTCTTCCTGTGCAGTGTCTGACTGGACATCAGTACTTAAAATTAGTGAAAATAAGTCTTTGACACAACCTTCCTCCACTCACACTGCAGGAAGTATAAGTATTTAGAGTAGGGATGCAACGATACCAAGTATCTGGGCGAGTACTTGTACTGGTATCCATATAGTAGTATTTCCGCTGTCTGGAAGCTGGGCGGCGAGTCATTACACGCTGCCTGGCTTCGTGATTGACCATCATCAGGGAGCATGGAGCTGGCTTCCCGGCCACCAGGAAAGCAGGGGAGGGTATGACTCGCCCCCCGGCTTTCTGATTGGCTGGGAAGCTGGCTCCATGCTCCCTCATCACTTAGCGACAAGGAAGCATGGAGCCGGCTTCTGTAATCACATGCATCCACAGCTTCCTGATTGGTCGGAAAGCTGGCCAATTAGGAAGCCAGGTGGTGAGTCATTACCCGCCCCCCAGCTTCCTGATTGGCTAGAAATTGGCTTGATTGAACCTGGTGACGAGGGAGCATGGAGACGGCTTCCTGGCCAATCAGGAAGCCGGGCGGCTAGTCATTATATGCCGCCTGGCTTCCTTAATGGACTTCCGGTATCAGTATTCGGTATCCGCGAGTACCGGGCAAAAAATATCGGTACTCACTCGATACCATAAAACTGGTAACGTTGCATCCCTAATTTAGAGTAATCATTGTGTAGAGATGTTAGACCTCTGTTAGAGCTTTCTGAGAGCAACTGCAGCCAACTTCTCAACTAAGAACTGTCATGCTATGTGTGTAACAGTATACTGTTGTAATCAAAATTACTCAACCCCCACTGCAAAGCAGGTTTATTGGCAAAATGTACAAACTTTCAGCTGTTTGCAATGAGCAAATCAAACAAAAGCAATTGAAATAGGTCATCACAATGAATGTTTCAGGTGTTTTCCCCAAATTCAACTGAAAATGCAACTTGTAATGACTCAAAATTATTCAGCCCCCTGAATAAAATCCCTCACAAGTGCACACATCTGGAAAACAGGTGTTATTTCAAGCAGGCCTGATGCAGCTAATAAAGGGCTTCATTAGCTGCACCATGTGTGCTTGTGCTAGAACATATGAAATACCTCAACTGGCTAAGGGTTTGTTGAGTGTCATGTTTGTCTGCATGTTAGAAATATGGCTAAGTCAAAAGAATGGCCAAAAAGGTTAAGAGAAGAGATTATTGCCCTTTGTAAAGAAGGAACAGTATACAAAAAGATAGCAAAGGCACTGAGTGCTCCTACAGACACTGATGTTCAAAGTTAAAAGAACAGTGGTTACACCACCTGAATGTGGCAGAAAAAGGAAGCTATCAACGGCTGCAACCAGATTTATGAGAAGGCAGGATGCGAAAAATCCTTGAGTGACTGCAAAAGACCTGTAGCAAGACTTGGTGGCAACAGGCAAAAAGGCCCCCAATGGATCAGTGGTATGTTTGGAGAAAGAAGAATAAAGCATATGCTGAAAAAAACACTTTGTCTACAGTTAAGCATGATGATGGCTCGGTGATGCTCTGGGGCTGCTTTGCATCCCCTGGCACTGGAAACCTGCGGCATGTGGAAGGCAAGATGGATTCATTGAAGTATCAGGAAATCCTAGGAGGAAACGTCATGCTGTTTGTGAGGAAGCTGAAGCTTGGGCGTCTTTGGACCTTCTGGCAGGACCATGATCCCAAGCTTACCTCAAATTCTACCAAGGCTTGGTTGCAGAAGTGCTGGAAGATTCTAACGTGGCCATCACAGTCACCCGACTTGAACCCCACAGAAAACTTATGAATATTAGTGGATTGGAGGCCATTGCTCATGAGTTGTTACCCCTACTCATTCACTAAAGGGTTAAAGAAAAAGTAAATAAACACATCAGACTTTTTTAAAAATCCTTTAATTGAACAAAAACCACGTCCACGTCAATCACGATGAGCGACGGCTGCCGACTCGCCAAAATAAAAAGAGACCCGACGACCCATCCAAACCTGCCAAAGACTCGACAAAAAATGACAGCTCCAGCCCAAAAGTAAACAAATGGGCAGAGCGAGTCATGACATCATGGGGCTTGTTCCACCCAATTGTTGACATTCTGGACCAGCTGACTGTCATATAAGAACAACAAAGTCTTTCCGAATGGCATTTCTGAATGCAACTCGTGAGCTCTCGAATGCCATTTCGGCTCCCAGGCACAAATGGAATTCAGGAGCTCCCAAATGCTATTCGCAATTTCGGACTCCCGAATAATTAGTTGATTACAATAAATATATAAATTTTTTTACTATAGAGTTCAGCCTGGCTAGGTCACCACTATACTCCTGTGGGATTGTAGATAGATAATAGCATCGATGTTTACAGTAAAACGACTCATCTAACCCAAATAGCTGAACTGCCAAAGGGAGGAGTAAAGACAGTGGTGTAACAATCGCCATAGCGACCCTGGCGGCCGCTATGGGGCCAGGGGCACAGGAGGGCCCGGCCAGAACATCCCGCTGATGCCGTGCCTACAGCCGCTGCTGTGTCAGTGACAGCCAGCAGCTGCGGCAGAGGATGCTGGGCCCGGCGTCGGCAGCAGAGGAGGAGGCGGGCCAGTGACATCAGAGGAGGAGGGGCCCGGCGATGGAAGGGGAGACAGGGCCTGGCGATGAAAGAGGAGGCGGCCCTGTGCAGCAGGAGGAGGCGAACAGCGAATCAGGGCTGACAGGTTACAGGTGTGCAGGGGTGTGACCAGCCAACCTGAGACCCTGCAGAGCCCACCATAGAGTCTATGGTGGGCTCTGCAGGGTCACTCTCAGGTGGGCTCTTTGGGATCTCAGGTGGGCTCTGCAAGGGACTAACTAGAAATCCCAGGGCCCCATAGAAAATTTTGCTATGGGGCCCTGTGATTTCTAGATACGCCCCTGAGTGGAGACCATGCAATTGTTTGCCTTACCTCTCATAAGAGCTGCTCTCAGGGAGCTTCTCAAGCTGCCATATTGTACTGCATGCTCTGTTCTAGGAAGTTCAATACCTTTTGAAGCAGTGTGAATGTGCATAGGTTTGCAGCTTATTAGGAATTCTGCTTACAGACAGGTTGCTTGATTCATTGCACAGCTTAGAAGTTCAGTTAAGAGTTGAAGTGGAAGATAACATCCAGTTCTATTTTCACAGGATATCGACTGAACGATGGCTTCTGGCACTCTGTCTCCCTGGTAGCCAGAGAAAATTCTGCTGTGGTGGTTATTGATGACGATGAAGGAGCACAATTCAAAATTAATTATCAGTTCCAGCTTCGGACAGGAGATTCATACTACTTTGGAGGTAGAAAGGTTACAATACTAAGTTTAGTCTGTGTCACAAGTCAGACTAAGACCTATTAAAGTTGATCTAAACCCAAAACCAAAATTTGTTATATTTTTGCACCTTACCAGTCCTTAGATGTGGTGGCTGCACTCATTTTCAGGCTTTTGTCCTGTGAATAACATGCTTCCTGTCCCTTCTTGGCCACACTCACTCCTCTTGTGTATTTATCTTTGTACTTGAATGCTGAACTGCTGGTAAAGATCTTTTCACACCAAGTATTTCTATTCCTGCCTGAGAAATAGGATTGTGTGCAGGGGTTGTGTGTTTAGAGTCAGTCAATGTCCCACTGTCTATTATTTAATCCCTGATGAAGGGGGATTCCTGACCCCCGAAATGCGTTGGCTTTGCATATCTTTTTGTCATCTTTTTGCATATCTTTTTGTCACTATTTGTGAAGCTAATAAAATGTTTTTTTCGGACTCTGGGGGATGATTGGCACTGGCACTCTTTTTTTTTTTTCTTCATTCAAGTGTATTTATGGGTCAGCCATGATTATCACACAGACTGGATCTAAAACATGTCTATGTTTGTTCATCTCCAATACATGGTAAATGATGGCATAAGTAGTTTACAGAAGAAAGATAAGGATGTTTGTGCTTTCTTTTCAGTTCACAGATAGTGCCAAAGATACAAAAAACACAAAAACAGTTTTTGACAAGTCCTTTTATATTAAAGAAAAACAAACAAACAAAAGATCAAGAGATCTTTTCTGTACTTGCTTATAATGTTCTTAGACTGAACAGTGAAAACGAATGCAGCCAACACATGTAAGAACTGGTCAACTGCAATATATTACATTTTTGTTTTTAGGTTCAGATACACTTTAAAGTTTACCGAAATCTAACTGTAATAAAAAGGATAAAATGATGAAAGCTGTAATAATATGCCAATAATAATGCCAGGATTATTCTGAAAAATCTGTGCCACAGTTTAGTGTGCCATATGCTCCACACCCCAAATTCCATGTCTGAACTGTCACAGCAAAGAATACTGATCCATCTTGTTTACCAGAGCAGTTCTTAAAATCCATTTACTGATTTGCCAATAATTTCATAATTTCCTATTTTACCAAAGTGGTAAATATGTGGTTTTTAGGGACAGTTTCAGTTAAATATCGTATAAAGGAAAAAAAAGTATGTGCGGTTATTAAAAAAAAAACAACAAGTATACAAAGTTAATTTTATGTCACGTGCCCTTTTTATTAACTTTCCTTTAACTTGCTTAAATTATCACTCACTTTTCATCTCACACGTGCTTCGGAAGTGATGCATTTCACAAGGTATTCACTCCAATTTAGATGATAACAATCTACAATGCCTTGCTGTGAAGGCTGTGAAATCACTGTCTATGTAATAGATATCACATCACTTTGTTAAAGTTAACAACCCATTGGGACTTCTGCAGACAAGCCTGCCATGTGTACTGAAAATACATGTAGCAAAGTTCTTATGAGTTGATTATGTACTAATTTAAAATGATTGTTTTTATCACACAGGATGTCCAAAGCCAAATACTGGATCAGGGTGCTATTCCAACCAGACAGCCTTCCATGGCTGCATGCAGCTACTCAATGTGGATGGGCAGCCGGTGGATTTCCATCGTATGCAGCTGGGCTGGCTGGGGCGGTTCTCAGAGGTCATGTTCAATGTCTGTGCTATTGCTGATAGGTGATTATGTTTGCCTGGTTTAATCTATATACACAAGACCAATTAAGTCTTTTTAACATGTACATGTAAAATCAGTAAAAAGAAGCTAACTTGCGATTGTCACCTGACTTCCTTTACATTGCTGCCCAGTACAGGCTTTTATATACTACATAGTTATGTGTTCTCAACCCCCGGAAATGTCTGGCTACAGGTACTTGTACAGAACAACAGAGATAACATTTGTTCTCAATCCCTCCGATATCACTAGCCCCCTTCGCCTGTCCTTGTATAAGTAGTATGTTCCATCAACCTTTTTTTCTTCTTTCCCAATCATCTATACCGTGGGAGTGACTGAACCTAGGGTCAGAGTGCATTCTGATCAGGAAGAATAGGGAGGGAAGGAACAGCACAGGCAGAGATAAACGAGAACCTGCAACAAGATGCAAAGACTTTAGGGCAATATATCAGTGCCCCCTCCACCCCCCCGCATTGCAAGGGTTAAATGCGAATTAAGTCTGGGGGGTAGGTAAAGAGGCTGTAATACTTACCTTATTCCTTGTTCCGGCCGGCTCTCAATGTTTTCCCAGAGGCTGTGGGTGGTCCCTTCACCCCATCATGTGCAGATCAGTGCAACTACCGATCATTGGGACCCAAAGCGACATTTTGGTGGGCATCCCCGGGGACCTCTCTCTGTGACCTGACAGTGTCAACTGGGACAATAGTGTAATTAGTCTTAACATAAAGTATGCTTAAATCAAGGACAAGGTAGCTGGGGAGATGCCAGTGTACACAATTAGCGACCAGTGCTGTTCTTTAAACTTTTTTTCTATTACAGAATTACAAAATTCAGCTGTCATCAGTTTTTAGCTGCAGACACATACCAGGGTTTATTAATATGAATTTGCGTGGGCTTGGTGTGAACTGCGTGAGACCGCACAAAACTGTCAGTGACACTCCCCCCTTCCAGCCCAATCAGCTGCGGCCGAGGCATTCCTTACCCCGCAGCTACACGTAACAAGGGGGCGGAGAATGCCCCAGTGGCAGCTGATTGGGCTCGGAGGGTGGTGTGTCACTGACAGTTTGCACCAAGCCCACACACATCCCTCTATATAAGGCTGAAGAAGATTGTGTTAAGCATATAGGGTTCTTTTCAAAGAGTTGGTCGAAATGAGGAGCGGTAACAAGGGAGATCTGTGATGATAGATCATAGCATGATCCCAAATGCTCCTCCTGTGCATCCGACATCAACTCTTCTAGACTGGAGACTTCACAGGGATCAGAGTGTTGTCAACGTCAATATTTTCATCACTCAATGATACAGTACTGGATTTGGGTTATCTTTACATGCACACAGATTTTATATGTTTAATTTGCCCCATAGAAGCTTCCTGGGCTGCTTTGGCTATAGTTGCACTACTGGTTTTGGATTTTGTTTAGTGTGTGAAAGGATTATAACCTGTGTTGACTGTGTACCTGTTTTGTAAACTTCTCAACTTCTCACTATATGTCCATTGATAGGTGGAAAGAGGTTTGGTGAAACAATAAAACCCCCCTTTTTTTTTTAGTAAAGTGAACAAGTATTAGAACATAACGTAAGAACAAACTATTGCTGCCTGTGCTCCATGAGGAAATCCAGATCATGGGTATGAGACAGAGAAGGGAACTTTGTTCTATGGGAACTCAGGCAGAAGTTAACATCTTTCAGATAAATGTAGCATTAGCATCATGCATTAATGCACAGCATGCAGTACAACAAAACATACCTGTGTTTTAGTGTGATGCAGGGATGTGACCCATCTTTGCATTTTGGTGTTCTTTGCTGAAAAAAAATGGAGCAAGTATGTGTTTTTGTGCATTAAAATGAGTTCCCAGCTTATTTTAAGAAAATGTGCGTGTTAATGCAACATATAGTGTGAACGGGCCCTAAACCTGTGGTTTATCATATGTAGATTGCTATCCCAAGCAGCATTTGTTCACCTTCAAATATTCAGCTTTCCTTCACTCTCTGTTCAGCTGCCTTGGTCAAAGAATTACCTGTTTACACAGAGCTCAGAGTTGCTCCAGCTGGAGCTTACACCAGCCTGAAAGCTCTCCCTGCCAGTATGTAACAGCAGTGTTGGGCTAAGCACCAGCACTCTTACATGGAGTATGGAGTCACATATTACATCATGCTTGGAATTCTGGGTCATTTTGTAGCTCTCAGTTGCTGAATAGAGCGGCGGGGAGTAAAGCAATGGTGTGTATGTGAGGGCATTAAAGAAAACCTGTTGTTTTGCCCCACATAGACAAAGAATAGGTTTGCTTTAGGCATATCAATGTTGCCATCATAGTTCTTTCCAGTAAAAAAACAGTAATCAGTGTACATACTGAATATTATCCCCTTTCTTCATCTCAGATGCAGGCCAAATCCCTGTGAACATGGAGGTCGCTGCTACCAGTCTTGGGATGACTTCTTCTGCATCTGTGACATGACTGGTTACAAGGGGGAAACCTGCCATAAATGTGAGTATCAGGAGTTTTCGTCTATTCTTAGTATGACATTCTCAAACTTTCAGCATTCTTAAAAAAAACGGAATAATCAGGTGATTTTAGTGTCATTAAAGTGACAATCTGTCCAAAACTGGTGTTTACATTTTTGTTACATACTGCAGAATTAAATCACATAACTTTTTCTTTTTTATATTATGGAGAATGCAACAAGGGCAATGTGAATAATCCAAAGTGGATGGGTGGGAACTGAAATTCTTCTGCTGAGCTTCTAAAGCAATATATTAAGACAGGGGATAAGTAAGCCCATGAGACTTTTAAATGGACTGGACCTTTAACGATAAGGGGAAAGACTTACAGCGGTATATAGCCAATTATTCTCGAGAATGGCACAATGCAGTACAAGATTCTACTTAAGGTGCCCATACACTGGTTGAAGTTCAGGCGATTTTTAATGTACTGGCTGAAATTTGCACAGTGTGTGGGGCTGTCGGCTCCCTTTCAGGCAGCATTCCTCGATCCGCTGATCAAAGTAGCAGCTGGAAAAGTTTCGAGCTATGAGAGCCGGCACCCAGTGAGCTGACAGGAAATTGGGTATTCTGACAGGTGGCGGCAGGACCTGTCAGAATACAATGTAAACAGCAGGATTCCTCGATCGACACGCTGTTTGTGTTGATGGAGGAATCGGGTCAATTTATTTTGTTCAGCCCATGGGTTGAACGAACAAAAAATTGATAGGTGTATGGCCAGCCTTAGACTGCTGTGTTTTACCTATGTGACAGATTTGCTTTAAGGGCAACAATACGTGTGATGATGAGTCCATCTAAATTGGATGCTGTTGACCTAATATGTAACAGATTTTGCCATAAATGAACATGGCCAAATCTGACTGATCTTTAAAGCAGAACTAAAGCCCTGATTTGAAAATCAACAAGGGTTTTTATTGCAGAATAGACATTGTTTGTTTGTTTAGCAATAAATGCGTCTTACCTTCCCCTTTTCAAGGCTAAGCTGCACATACACATTTAAATCCTACACTGTACAGTAGTCATAAGAGCAAGAGGTGGGGGACATCTATCAATAGGGACTGATGTTCTAGTAACAACTCTTCAAGAAGGGAATTTCCCTCACTTTGGGAGACTTCCTCTCATTTCCTTTTGCGTCTCCACGACAGTAAGTGAAGGAGCATCTCCCTGTCAGGACACAAACAGCAAAATGTATCCTGATAGGGTTTAACCCTTGCCTACGTTATCTAAAACTGAAAAAAAAAAGTTGGCTTTACATGTTAATGGTAATTGCCCAAATAATGTATATATCTAGATAGGGCAGTAGAACTTGGTGTTTCAGGACAGCATACACATGTAGATGCGGTCAACCTACAGCTGCTTAAACTACCCTGCTGTCTGTAAAGATATATTTCAGCCTTGCAAGGAAGTTTTCCAGTTATTGTCATAATTCGAATGTTTGTATAGGCACTATAAAGTATATCTAAAGCCAAAACTATTTTCTCATTTAGGTTAAGATAGATTAAAGCTGGGCACATAAGGAGTGAATTTTGGCCGATTCCGCGTGGGTGTCCCTATTGCCCCGATATAAGTTAATCATTAGATTAACTTTTGACAAGGGGATATGTTTGGGTATTCTGATAGCGGCTGGCACCACTGTCAGTATACAATGTACACAGCAGGAGATTCATTCCTACACACTGTTAGTGTGGATGGAGGGATCTGTCATTATAACCGTGTGTACTCAGCTTAAGAAATTATTAATCTGCTTATCAGGTTTCTTTTTGCCAGTTGTGTCCAATTGGTGTAATTTCTCTTTCCTTGCTGTCCTGTACACTCAGCAGGAAGTGAGAAGATATCTCTCCAAAGTGAGGGAATTCCCCTATTACGCAGTTTTCATTGGAGCACAGCCCTTATTGGAAGATTAAATCTCTATTCTTGGCAACTCAATTTTAGATTTCCCATCACTTTCCTTACTGGTGACAATAGTCTCTAGGGCACATTCTGAACCTAGACCCATTTAAAGAGCTGCATAAAAAGGAAATCTATTATTCTGACCAGAACAGTTGCAAGAAACAAGATCCCGCACGCCACAACCCCTACCCGCTGTACAATGCAAACCTGACAGGTGTTCTAACCTTAAATACACTTTAGGTTTGCATTCTGTGTCATTTTGTCTTTCTGGTAATGTGTGTAAATATATGATTTTGTTGGGGCTCTTTCACAATTTACAGAATGTTTTAATGATTTGTGGTATAAAGGTAAACCAAGTAGAAGGAACATTTTAAATGGATTGAAAACCTGATTGTTTCTATGCAGTTTCTATGCTATAGACAACCCCCTCATTCTAATCTTCTTCTCATTTTCATGATTAAGCTCTTTTCAAGGAAAACTGTGATGCCTACAGAATTAGCGGCAAATACTCTAGCAATTACACTGTGGACCCAGATGGCAGTGGACCGTTAAAGCCTTTCACTGTCTACTGTGACATTTCTGGTACTGTAATCCTATCTATTCATAGTAACAGAGTGGTATGAGACATAGTACAACATACTACAAACCTGCACTAATCTATTTATTGTTGGCTGAACCACAATGTTATGACTGCATACAAATATATATGCCAAAAATATATACAACAATTACTTGTGTTCATGGGATCAGCTTTTAAATGGATAGTTGGCTAATAATCCTTTATTTATGGTCATTTCTCCACCAGTGCTGCAACAATTATAAATGGCAGACTGCATGGTATGTGATTACCATACAAATTGTTCTGTTGTTGCTTGCTAATATAGAAATGCCACTTAAAGCGACCCAGTCACTTAGAAAACATGACCAGCTTTGTAAAAGAATAGATAATGTACTTGCCTATCCCATGGCTTATATCTTGAAATGTCACCACAGGAGCAAGGTATGGCCATGGGAGCAAGGTATGGCTAGCAGGTAAAAAAGGGGGGAGACAGAAGTGTAAGCAGGACTATACCTAGGGGTCATTTTCATTGTTAATTACAACGGGAGTGGGAAGCCGAGTACAGAGTTTGTGCGGGGTAATTGTTTTTGAATGATACAAATCAATCGAGTGAAGTGGATTGTAGAATGCGCTCTGATTTGGGGGTGCCTTAAATTACTGATGAACAACTGAATCTTAAATAAGTGTCGGGTTTATTTACAAATAGGGATATACATACATATTACAATTAAGGGAATTTGAAAGGGGAATTGGGGATAGGAATTGAGGGTAAGGATCCTACAGCTAGCTACACCATTCTCTCTCTCATTCACACAAGCCATGGGTTTTTCTCTGTTCTTCGGACACGCCTCTCCAGCAGGTCTCAGCGAATCACATTCTTGATTGCAGAGTTCAGAAAGACTTGTCTTGTCCAAAGGTCTGGCTTGTCAGATAGGTTAGTGTCACACAGGAAGAAGGTTCCATCATCTGCCCCTGCCCCCCATCCCAGCATATATGCCTTGCTGACACAGGTGAGGGCAGTAAATACCAGCAGGGGGTCGGGCTTGCCCCCGGACATGACAGTCCAGCAGATCTCCTTTGATCAGTGTCCAGCCCCAAGAACCCTTTGATGGTCTTCATTTGCATATCAAACAGCACGGGCAGCTCACGATATTAAGGAACCTTTCCATCAAAGATGTATCATAGATGTCAATTATTTTAGCTTCCAACAGGATGCTTTTATGATGATTGGCTTGCATGTCATATTTGTTTTTATTTAGAATAAGATACATTTATTGAATATGGAGGTTCAGTGTTAAAGGAGAACTATGGGGTTAAGGCTTTTCCCCATAGTTCTCCTTAGCGTAACGGGAGGACCCAAACTAGCATCCTCCCGTCACCCTAGGCTCAGTATACCACGAGCTGTAGCTCGCGGTATACTGAGACGCCGCAGCTGAAGCGGTACCCGACAATTGTGCCAGGATTCGCCCGGCTGCGTGACTGACAGCTGGCTCTCCCTATCTAGAGGCAGAGCCAGCTGTACCCGCCCCCTCCCCGTCCGTTCCGCCAGTCAGCGTTGGCGGATCGGAGCAGGGAGGGGGGAATCCAACCCCTCCCCTGTCACGGCAGATAGCTGTGACAGGATCGAGAGGTGAGCGAACGCCGGTATGTGTTCGCTCACCTCCCGATCTCATTGTCACAGGTCGGCTAGAACTATGAGCTGAGTGAAAAGCACTCACCTCATAGTTCTCCTTTAAGGTAATCCCCAACTCAAATTCAGATAGGAGTAAGTAATACTAATAAAAAAGGTTATTTCATGATTTATTTATTGCTACAATAATGGATTGATACAAAAGGATAAAAATAATATATTATATTTAATATGATCACTGAATATAAAAAATAATATCCATTTTTCTTCAACTTGAACTCCAGGCTATTAAAAAAAAAGACATTGTCACACTGTAATCATTAATATATCATGGAATGTGTTTTTCAATACAAGCAGTGTTCGTACCTGAATTTGACCTTCAAGTAGCCTCTTGTACTTCCTATACAGCAGAACTTAGACTGGGAGAATAAGTAGCAGTACAAGGCTGTGGGTGAGAGAAGACTTTAGGGTGTTAGTGAACAGACAGGGCTGTGTTGTGTGGCAGAACTGTGTAATTTTCAGGCCTGGATGATCAGATATACAAACCCTTTGACAGATAAAACAGCTCCCATGCACTGTATGTATTTCATCTGTGTATTTAGCTGTTTTCTTGGAGTTCATGTTCACCTGTGATTTTCCCCTTCAGAGCAAAGCAACAGGTTGACCTGCGCTGGCCTTTGCTTTTCTTCCACTCCATTGGCTGGCATGAGCTAGGAGAAGAAGCCCTGTGTTAGTTACAGCTTGTTTTCTTCAGAAAGCAACCACAGCCTGAGTAGAAAAGCCTGTCCCCTGCTGGCATGCTGTAGAGAAGGACCCTTGCTCTCTGTGAGGAAATAGTAGTCTCTCTGCAGAGGTCTAACATGCCCCCTGCTGGGTCAGAGCTAGAGCTGTCCATTCAGTGGAAAGCATGAGCTTTGCTGATGGCAGAGCTTTAGGTCTGAATCAGCAGGGGTGTGTTGGCCCTCTGCAGAGAAACTATTGCACCCACACAAGGAAAAGGGTCCTTCTCTGCAGCATGGCGGCAGGGGACAGGCTTTTCTACTCAGGCTGTAGTTTCTTTCTGAAGAAAACAATCTGTAAGCAGACCTTTTGTTTTGATGCACCTGGAACATATTTAGCTGATGTAAACTGAAAGTTCAATTTTGTTTTAAACATCTGGCTGAATACATGTTGCTCATAATCACTGCAAAAATGACATTCTGTTAGCAGTCTCTACTGTTTAAGTGACACTATATTAAACAAATATATAAATACCTTACTGTTGTTGTTTGTTCAGTATCAGAGGAAAGAGCTTGGACCATAGTACAACATGACCGGTACTATCGCACTAGAATTGTTGGCTCCAGTCCGGAGCAGCCGTTCTTAGGAGAGGTGCATTACTGGAATTCTTCGTGGGGAGAGGTGTCTGCATTGGCCAATGGATCAGAATACTGTGAACAGATGATAGAGTTCTCCTGCTACAAGTCTAGGCTCCTCAATACACCAAGTATGAGATGAATTATGAATCACCAATAATACCATATGCTGTATCATCTAATGCTTTCTAGATGTATGCTAAAAGGCAACTAGTACAATTATGAGTGCTTCCTACATGGTGCCAGGAATGCTGCTCAGCTCACAGTCACCTTTTGTATAGCTAAAAGTCATGGTAACATATTTGGCCTATATTCCTGCCTAGCTTTATAAGTCTATCTATCATTCTTGTAATGTTGTCGTTTGGAAAGGCAGCCACTACCGGTATCCAATGTCAGATGGCGGGTTTTCAAGCAGCGATTCCTTTCCACTATAGATCATTGACTTTATCAATTGTAGCAGTTTGTTACCAATGACAGCTTTCTAAAGTGACAATAGAAACATGGAGCAAAATAGCAGAGGAATATGTATATGGCCAGCCTTATTCTCTAACTATTGCTCTGCTGTAACTGTAAACATTGATTTATGTATGTCATATGTTATGGTTTAGTCTTTGTATACTTTGAAAACTGAAATAAAAGTCTAGGGCTGCAACTAATGATTAATGCACAATTTTTTGCAATCGCAGTGCACATGGCATTGCGGTACCGTGCATCCCAGTGCGCACGCGAGTGAGGGTAAGAGGCGCGTTTGGGGTGCCATTGAAATGATTGGCACTGCAACGCCAATCCTGTGTGCGTCCAAGCATGGACACCCGCACGGATGCGCATACGACAGTGTACGGTTGCATCCTCCCATAGGGAAGAACAGGCTGTTGCGTACAATCACACGCAGTAACTGTCCTTCCCGGGAACGGCCCGATGTGGATCTGTACGGCCCCACTCTACGCTGTGTGAATGAGGCCTTAAGGGTTTTAGGTTATTCCATATACTGTAGATTAGTCAGTATTTTGTTGCACCTATCTCAGGGTGAAACATTTTGCTGCATTGTAAATAAATAGATTTGTCTTTTGAATATGAATAGATAGTTTGTCTTTTCATTCATAGGTGGTACCATTTTACAGAGGCTTAAAAGATTGTTAAAGGGCAGGGGCGTAACTAGAAATCACAGGGCCCCATTGCAAAATTTTGTATGGGGCCCTGTGATTTCTAGTTACGCCCACCTGATAACCCAAACAGCCCACCTAAGGGTGACCCTGCAGAGCTCAGCAGCAGCGGCTGTGAGAAGGAACGGAGCGTTCCTCCTCACAGCCGCCAGTGACAGCCAGCAGCCTGGCTGTCCGAGCAAGATGCCATAGCGACCCAGGCGGCCCACATGGCATCAGGGAGATGTCCTGGCCGGGCCCCGCCGTGCCTCGGGCCCCATAGCGGCCGCCTGGGTCGCTATGATGATTGTTACGCCACTGTTAAAGGGCATGTCAACACAAGGCAGTGCATCTCTGTGATACTTGCACATGTTTTACCCCTTTTACTGCCACAAATTTAAGGGGTAGATAAATCTAGCTCAGTAACCCTTACATCCGCTGCATTCCCTGCTACAGAGTCTCTGAGGCATGTGTTGACCCATATTAATCAATGCAACAGTCTAAATAGGCCAGCGGGGGCTTCATTTAATATAACAAATAGAGGAAGCAGTTATGCCCATTTAACTTATGACCATGTTGCTGTGAGTTACCACATGCATGTTAAAGTGACGGTCACGTTTCCCATTTGGGTCAACATGACAGGCTCTATGAAATGTATTCCCCTCCCACCAACCAATTTATACTTATCCCTCCAGGAATCTACTTCCGCTCCTGCCTCTAGTTTAACGCAACGTAACTGCTGCTTCCAAATATAAGGGAGCTTGTGACAGTTTTTACTCTGCTTATATTTTGCATTTTTCTCCATTTTACTCTATTTCCCCATCAACATGCCAAATTTGTTTTAAACCTTTCCGTTTTTATTATACAGCTCATTTTAGACCCAATGATGTCATCACTTGGTCTCTGTGCATCTCAGATCATGGCTGTTGGGAGGGAGCAGCCAGTTGATATACATATGTTCCTGAAAACATCACAGCACCCTGCCTCAGCACTTCTCTCAAGAGTGCTCACCTCTGATGCAAGCAATGGGTGGCTCTTGGGAGGTGTTATGCAAATATCAAAATGCCTTGATGGATGAATGTCAGTCTGGGTATTCCTAGGCATGCTGTATTTGCAAGCATGGCACCCTAGGTAATATCCACATATGATCCAGAGTCTCCTTAATTGAAAGAACTAAAATCCAATGAATAAAAGGGCAGGGGATATATGATGTTGGATGTCTTCCAGACAGGAAATGAGGCAGGCTCTACCTGAATTGCTGCAGCTTCTCATGTACATTGTTAGAAGATCACAGTGTGCAGTAAAATCAGATTAAGCAATTTCAGTACAAGAGAGCAGCCTGTACAGATGTGCAAGACTAAGGGTAAGGTTGGAGTTCAGCTTTAATTGCTTTGCTGTTTCTGCTTAGGGAATTATATTCTAAAGGTACAAATTATTATTGATATGTCACATAAAACTGTGGAATATTGTCAGACAGTTAGTCTTTAGATTGGTCCTCTTTCACAATAAATGACTATGGTATCTGTATCTGAAAGGCTCCATTTCCTGCTCTTCACTATAGATACATAAAATAAACTCACAATCATCCCCAGTCAGAAGGTGATGATATTTAGAGAGTGATAATCTGTTTAATTATACTTTTTTTTTATTGACCCCATGTATATACATTATACAGATGTATTATATCTTCTGGGTGACAGAGGTGTGTTAGGGGTGCATAGCTTGAGAAGAATGCTTTACAATGTGATCACATGTTTACAGGGATCCCAACCTGAAAAAAGCAATTTCAGGGAGGTGCCCTTCTCATTTCAGGAAGGTGCCCTCTGCCCCCCCCCCACCCCCCAATCTACGGGGGTGGGGGTGGAAGAGAGAACCCCCTAAAATAATGGCAGATCGCACGGGAAGCAGTAGCTTCTTTGCTATCTGCTGGGTTTTGGGTTCTGCTGTCAGAATAAAAAAAAACAAAAAAAAAAAACAGCATAGGAATGAATAGCAAGATTGCTATTGGCTATTTCAATTTGCAATATCAAATAGCAAGCTGGCTATTGCTCCCTTCCTCTGCTGCTGTCAATCACTAGAAGAGGACCTGGTGGAGAACTTCAGGTCCCCCTCTGCTGATTGACAGCAGCAGTGGGCGGGTGCAATAGCTAGTCTGCTGTTGGCTATTGTAAAGTGAAATAGCCATTTGCATTCCTATACTGTTGTTTTTTTTACTCTGACGGTGGACGGCGGCCCCAATGTCAGAAAAAAAAAACAGATCGCAGGGAAAGGTCAATACCAGAGTAAACCTTTCCGGGAGAAAATGTTTCTCTCCCGGGCGGCCAGGAGCCGCTATCTAACAGCGGGAGACTCCCGGCGCGCTCCGGGAGAGTTGGGATGTCTGTGTTTATCTCTTTTTGTAAAAAGGGTTCAAAGTGGGTTCAGCTTTCATATGGCAGAATGAGACCTTGTTTTCTACTATCTTTATATAGGAAATTAGTGAGATGTTTATGTTAAATTATATCTTATTATTTTAGTTAGTAAGCTCTCACGGGCAGGACCCTCCAGCAGGGCCCTCCTTACCATCTTGTCTTGATTTGTATTGTAACTGTAATGTCTTCCTTATATTGTAAAGCGCTGCGCAAACTGTTGGCGCTATATAAATCCTGAATAATAATATCTCCTCCTCTTGTCGCAATGGTTCTGCTGACAGTTCTTATCTTGTACTTTTCCAGTGGGATTGCCATACAGCTTTTGGATGGGAAGAAATAACGAAAGACATTTTTACTGGGGTGGCTCTAACCCTGGAATTCAGAGATGTGCCTGTGGCATCGAGAAAAGATGTGCGGACCCCAAATTGTACTGTAACTGTGATGCTGATCACCTTCAGTGGTAAGTAAAAATATGATTTATATTCATTCTTTACATGTCACTTATCTCTAATATTGAATAGAAAGCTCAAATGTACCACAGATATCCCACTGATTTATTACTCCATAAAATGTTATTGATTTCAGTTAATAGTGATTGTTGGCAGGGATTCTTTTTATAGCTTTTCCAATCATAGAAGAACATTCAATGTTGAAGAGGATCAATAAAACTAATACAACTCTCTTTTAGGAGATATGACAAAGGTTTATTGACCTTCCGTGATCATCTACCAGTGACCCAAGTGGTTGTGGGAGATACCAACCGCACTAGTTCTGAGGCTTGGTTTTCAGTTGGACCGCTGCGCTGCTATGGAGACAGTAAGAGACATCTTTCATATTTAAGAATTCAGATATGTAAACAATATTCCTTAGCCAGCAGATCATCCCTGGATTCATCAAGCTTGGCCCAAAAGTGTGACTAAGAAAGAGCCATGCTTAGTCTGAATGTGGAACACTTATTTTCATATTGCCTTGTAAAGGGCTATAACCACAGATCACAGTGCCCCATAGCAAAAATGTAATGGTAAAAAAACTCGGTTTATAAAAGGTAAACAGAGTCCCAACAGTCCCAGTTTACAGGACCGTGCTGCCACCAATGTGATATTGTTTCTGTACCGTACAAAAGGAATCTCTGTACTTTCAATAATAACACAAAAAAATAACAGAGCGTACATAAATAACTTAGAAACTGGGCTGCAGAGTGACATCCTGTGAATGGTCTGTTCTAGCTCCACATCTTCAATAGGAAGTACTGTACTGTATGTTCATAATATATTTCTCAAGTAACCCTTACAAAAGTAGAAAGCACTTTGGGGTAAAGCCATATTTTACAAAGCTGGCTATATTAATAAAAATGTATTGTATTTGTATCACTCAGCTGTAAATCTTCAAATCATCTCTGAATTGGTGCTGACACTGTCCTTCCTTCTGGATGGTGGCTACTTTTGTTCCTCATGGTCGCTGTGTGTGTTGTAAGGTAGCCACTGCTCCAAGCTCACTCTCATGACGGACTACAATCTCAATACAAATTAGTTGACTAAACGTGAGATTGTAGTCCATCACGGGAGTGAGCTTGAATCAGTGGCTACTTTACAACACACAAGGACCATGGGGAACAAAATTCCTATCCTCCAGAATGAAGGACAGTGTCAGCATGAATTCAGAGATGATCTGAGCATCCACAGCTGAGTGATACACAAAAAGTGTACAGTTGTGTTAATAGTTAAGGTACTTAAATGCATTTTTAAGATTTAACTCTGGAGTTTAGTGTCACTTTAAGTGTCCATTCCACTTTGAAGAGGGTTATTTGTGCATGCTTCCAGAAAAGCATTGCCATGAAGTCTTCTTGTCCCTATGTGGTATAGTGAAGTCAGTGCTGTAGGGCTTCAAATGATGACCAGAAAGCCTAGTCCTGTGCTGACAAGGTCGGATTTTTTTTTTTTTTAAGATAGCCAGTGGTTGGAGCTGCTACTGATAGGCCGGTCATATTATACATGGCATATGTTTTCAGGAAAGCATCGCTCTCAGGAGAGTCTCCCTTGTTTCAAGAGATTCTCCATGTTAATACGTACTCTAATACCTTTTTAAACAATGGTTAGCGTGTTGTAATATCTGGGCCAGTGGAGGTCTCACATTGTACAATACTGTTTGGTAAGATTTTTCTTTCACTATATATCAGGAAACTCATGGAATACTGTGACCTTTATGAAGGCAGCACGTCTCATTTTCCCAACCTTCACACCTGGGAACAGTATGGACATCTCCTTCTATTTCAAGACCACATCCCTCTCAGGAACCTTTCTGGAGAATATGGCCAGTGACTTCACGATCTTTATCAGAATAGAGATGAACAGTGAGTTAGCCTTTTTGTTTTTGTCATCCTAGGTCTTCAAAGAGTACTAATATAGATAAAGGTTCTTTAATATTTTCATTAAAGAACCTTTAAAGAACTAAAACGCATTGTACAGCGGGGCATACAGGGTTATGAATCATTGGTATGTAAAGTATATTTAAACACTAAGGCTCTGTTCACACCTAGGTGTTCGAAAATGCGCGTTTGTCGCGCATTTTGTGACGCGCGTTTTTACCGCTATCTAAAAGCGGAGACTCCCGGAGCGTCCGGGAGAGTTGGGATGTCTGCCTATCCCTACCTTATGGAAATAAAAAGAGAGGGGGAGTTGATCTGCAGTACTAAACACGTCTTGTCCTAGGGTGACAATGCTGCTCCTCTATTGATACCATACAGTGAGTGAGTGTTGTCACCCTAGGAGTTAGAATCTCTGTCAGGTTTATTGCAGTCTGTGTATCCATTTTTGTCTTTTGAGTTGTTCCCAGAAGAGGAAAAGAGGGTATATCTTTCCATGCGGACACTTGTTCCCATGACAACTGTCTCACTGTGGAGAAATTGCTTTTCACTTCTGATTGTCTCAGGACAGGAAGTTAAGAGATATCTCGCCAATAGGACAGAAATGTTATCTATTCCCTTCTCTGCAAAACTAAAAAAAAAAAAAGGTTTTGGCTTTAGATATACTTTATCTGTGCTTTTCATTTTACACTGAATGCTTACAAGATAGTTGATATTTTACAGAGTACCCATTACCTGGCAGATGATGAAAATGATCACATTTTAATCACACCACTTTAAATGATATTAAAGTGGAAACTTCACCTTTTCCACACACTTTCCCTCATTGCACTTCTACACCCTTCCTCTCTCACAATTGGATATTAATGTATTTAGTAGACATGTGCGATTCGTTTCGTTCCGAATTAAAATTTGGACAAATTTTCGGAGATTCGGATGCATCCGAATCCCCCAAGTTAAAACAAAAAAAAGTGCGTGGGGTTCCCCCCAAAATCTCTACCAGACCCTTTAGGTCTGGTAGGAATTTTAAGGGGGAACCCCAGCTACAAAAAATGGGGGGGGGAAACGTGGGGTCCCCCCTAACAGTCCTACCAGACCCTTGAACCGAGCACTGGCCCGGCAGTGCAGGAAAGGGGGGGCGATCGAGCGCCCCCCCCCTCCCTGCGCCTTACCAGGCCACGTGCCCTCGGCATTGGGAGAGTGTCCCCGTGCCGATGGGACAAGGGCCTCTTCCTCACAATCCTGACCCGGTGGTTCTGGGGGTCTGCGGGCAAGGGGGCTTATTTGCATCGGGGTACCCCTTTTTTTGCTGCTAACGAAATTTCGTCCAATAAACGAAATTTCGACCGCACTACCGCTAAAAAAACTACTACTGCTAACGAATTTCGTCCGAATCCCGCAACGAATTCAATTGCGGACCCGAATCCGAAAAACAAAATATGCAGAATCAAAACGAAACTAAACTAAACAATTTTTTTGATGGTGCACATGTCTAGTATTTCGTTTTCCAGATACCTTTTTTTCCATGCCCCCTTCAGGCACGCCTAGTTGAGAATGCCATCCCAGTTGCCTGCAGTCTCCTGGGATACAAACATCATACATCCCAGGAGGCCTCAGGGTAATCTCTGCTACTGTGCCTTATCAGGCGGGCAGGTGTCTCTTTCTGGTTCTTGTAGCCAGCCCCAATGATGTACCACGGCACATTATCAGGCAGCCAGCTGTCTCTTCTTTGTGCTTGCATCCAGCCCCAGCTGCAAAAACTTGGAAGAGACAGGTGCCCTCCTGATGATGTAAGTAAAAAAGATAGCAGTGTGGGACCCGGTGTGCGGTGGCAGATGAGTGGATTGCAGCAAGACAATGCTGGATTCGCTGGACATGTGAGTATGAATTTTTCAGACAACCCAGTGAACATAGTAAGAGGGGATTTTAAAAAAAACAAACATATATTTTCAGTATGGTAATTGTCTTATTAACGAATTGCAAATGAACCTGACTGTAACTTTTTTTTCATTCTGTTAACAATTTGTGTGCACCAGCAACAACTGACTTGGCATTTATTTATGACATTGGCAATGGCCATGAAAATGTGACTGTAAAATCGCCACTTCCTCTAAATGACAATGAATGGCACGAAGTAAAAGCAGAAATGAACGTCAAACTCGCTCGAATCAAAGTGGACAGACTTCCATGGGTGATCCGTAACTTCCCTATCCAGACCTACCTGAACACCTCATATGACCGACCACTTTACGTAGGTGAGTTCATAGACAGTGGAAAACTGCTTAGATTTGATACAGGAGCCCTTAACATACAGTATATAGACCTTAAGTTCCCTTCTGCCAAATGGACACGATTAAATTAACACTTTGCTAGCAAATCCACCTCACTATTAAAGAATGATGCTCTAAATTATATTTTTTAGCTTTGAGTGGATGCTTGCTCCCGTGATGGACTACAATCTTAACACAAACTAGTCGTCAATCACTGGAGCCTTTTTTTTTTTTAATTATCCGATTAACCGATTAATCGAACTTAATAATCGGCCAACTAATCGATTATGAAAATAATCGTTAGCTGCAGCCCTAAATGGGACAGGTATGACCCTTCGATGAGTCTCCCTCAACATCAGGGTCCCCAGCAGAAAGATCTGCTTTCACCTCTATCATGGCTGTATACATACAGAACAGGAACACAACCAAGCTCAGCTTGCCATGCCATTGCCTAGTGTGGGGAAAGCTCCCAGTCCCATTTTATTCCAAAAAATATTATTTATTTTGGAAGCAAAGTTTCTGCTTAAGAAAATTTTGTTTTACAAATGGGACACAGTAGTGAAAATGTATTGGCTTAATGCTTTGAAGGTTAAAACATTTGAGTGCACATTTATGATGTGAGTTGACTCCTTACCTCACAGCCATTACACCTGATGCTGTAGCAGTATCTGGGTAACAGGAGATCCTGAACCTCCGCTAAGTTGTATTGTACAGCTTTAAGGTGGAATACCCAAAACTCACATGGGCCTCAACAGCTCTTTAGCTAGCAGTCACTGGGTGGGTAACAGCATCCAGAAGCACCATGCAGAACTTCTTCAGATGGGCACAGCCCCGCAAACCAAGAGGTTCAAGTGTCACTATGTTCGAGTCATGACTGTAGCAGAATGTCTCTTTTCTTCTTAGGGCCACATGGCCTGCCATATCAAACAGAAGGGTGATATCTTCTACACCTGTGTTCCAGCCCTGGGGCGGAAATCCATGCAGCTTGCCCTAGCAAAAACCTATTTCCCAGCAGGGGGAGGTCTAAAGGGCTTCCATTAAGAACCATTCCAGAACATAGCCTCCCCATTTTGTCAAAGTTATATCCAACCCACAGATGGCAAACTCACCAGGGGTTGGCTAGCTGACTAAACAGACAAGATTCTCTGTACCCACCCTGGTCTCAGGACTCTGGAGCCTCCAACAGAATGACTGGCAGGTTATGTCATACAGATCATCCCTGGGTGTAATACTCTGTAAGACAAACTACAAAAGCAAAAGAAAACCAAAAATGCAGAGTGCTAGGAAACACAGCCCTACATAAGTTTTTGCTTAATTTACAGTTTCAGTGGTGTGCATATCTAATTACACAAGTTGTATGGCCACTATGGGCAGAAGTTGAATAAAAAGCAAAAATGTTTCAGATGGAGACCCACAGAACATGGAATTAGTTACCCTGTTGGGAATTTAATTTCCAACTCTGCAAAGCCAAAATCCTAACTTTGCTACTCACATTCTGAATTATGACCAACATTTAATCATTAGCCATATCCCTGATGCATCAACCACTGAATTGTAATTTGTTTACCAAGAAATCTGGACTTTTATGTTGCTGACCCCAATATGAGTAAATACGCTAACTGGCACACACACTGTAACCTGTTTAGTATATCATCTGTTACTTTCAGTTTTTCTGCTTATTTGTTTCCAATCACAGGCTCTGCAGACTACAGATTGAAGCCATACATTGGTTGTCTCCGTGGTCTTCGGATGAATGGTCTGACTTTAGACTTAGAAGGAAAGGCAATTGAAAGATTAGGTGTGAGGACCAACTGCACAGGCCACTGTGAGAGACCACAGATGGAGTGCCAGAACGGGGCCCGCTGTGTAGAGCGATACAGTTACTATACCTGTGACTGCAACGGAACTGGCTTTGAAGGACCATTTTGCACCAGAGGTAAAGAAGGGTTAATGGATATTAGGAGAGGGGTAACAACGTTCTATACTAAGCACAAAATAAATTAAGCAGACACAAAAGACAGAGATGGAAATAGTGTTATGTTACAGGAAATTAAGGATGTTTACTGAATTAGAAATCTAATACTCACTAGGAACTCCTCCTGTCTTACTCTTGGGACCATTTGTTGACTAAGTGCTGGAAATTTAGAGACCCTGGCCCATGGAGAAACAATAGTATCCCCATTATTACACTGCTACCACAAGCTTAAAGCTGAGCTTCAGCTATAGAAATTTATATATACTTACGTTGGTCCAACGTGGCACAGTGCAAATAAATAAATATATATTTAGCCCCCCTCTCCACCGTGCTTCAGTGGTCAGCTGACATCATCACGTACAATGCAGGGCTCAAAGCCCTGAGGGACAGTCCACAAACCGGAGCGGAAGGGAGAGAGGTGAATGCTGACTGCTAAGAGAGTAGGGATCAGGTAAGTTAAAGTCCTTCACATCATACCCCTAGACCTAAATGAACAGCTAACCTTTGCGGTGTGGGGGTAGCTCCATTGCAAGGGACGTTTTTTTTCCCACCCCATAGACGGGCAATAGAAAAATCCTGCAATGGAAGCCTCCATATTCTTTCAGTACTGCCATCCATTAAAACAGACCTAGATTCAAGCAATATTAACCTTAGAACAGTGTAAGATAAGTTATATGTGAATAATGTAGCACTTGCAATAGGCATCCTGTATCTGCTGTTTGTCCAGGCCCATTTTGTCATTCATAGCACAAAGTTTCTGTGGATAAGTCTTCTTGTTCTTAGACCCTGTGCCCTAGTGACACCATTAATGTAATCCAGTAGTAGGACTGGACAGATATGCCTGCAAACACCTGATAGGCTGATATAACAGGATATGCCTAAACACAGTCACATTTGAGAAAGCGTTCTGCTATTGTGATTAGGAAATATATGTGTAAGGGCATGTTTTTTTAAAATTTGCATTATCACATTAAACTGTGTGAATGAATCCCTCTTAGTCAATGTAACTTAGTTTTTAAGCACATATCATCCAGAGCAGTTTTTAACTCACATGTTAAAATCTGCATTGTGTCCTAAAAAATGGCTTAGTAGAGGTAAGATTTGAAGAAAAGTGGAAGTAGAGGTAAGATTTGAAGAAAAGTGCAAATACAAAAGTGCAAATACACGGGGGTGTTCGGCTCATCCCTACTGGGCACCCACTATTGAGTATTTATGTTGGCGGTTTACTACCGCTTTAAAACCCCCAAACAGTTACATATTTTCTAAAAGCGGAGGCCCTGCAGAATAAAATGGTGGCAATTGCAATTTTTTTATGTTGCACGTACACACACAATTGCAAAGGCATGAGTAGGGCGCACACATGTATGTAATATAATTTTTCCTAAAAATATAGATTTGACAAACAATTACATAAATATTGTGCAACATAAAAAATTGCAGCTTAGGCAGCTAACAAGTCCCCTATGTGAAAGCATTGGGGAGGTGATAGGTTCTCTATATGGATACATCTCTTTATGGAGACCCCAAATGTCTCCCCTGTCCTCCAAAGTAGCCGATCAAGTGTAGGAATGATGGGAATCTGACAGCTCTGAACCCAGAAGTGCTAAAAATACATTCTATTGATCAGAGAGCATGCTATCCTGCTGTTGGTTGCCATAGTCTCAGGATCCCCAGGATAGGGGGTGAGCATGGGAACCATGGCATGATTTGCGGCATTAGGGGGGTGACGATGCCTCATTACTCTTTCTAATACTCAAACAATTCATCCCCACACAGCTACCTCCTCATGTATCACTTACCCCATCTCTTTTAGATTGTAAGCCCCCAGGGGCAGGGCCCTCCTTACCATCTTGTCTTGAATTGTATTGTGATTGTAATGTCTTCCTTATATTGTAAAGCGCTGCACAAACTGTTGGCGCTATATAAATACTATGTAATAATAATAATTGCAGGCCCATAGCAGTGTTTAGGCAGCTCTACAGCTGTTTCTGCTGCAGCTGTGAGCTTGTTATAACCACTTGTATTCCTTGACGTTTATGAACATCATGTGGTTAAAGTACACCTGTGCCCAGACTATGGACATTAAATATTCTTAACAACCACTCACTGACTTCTGTAGCTATAGGCATTGTGGAAAACTTCATCTTCAATGTTCACAACACTGAATCAATGTATTTTCTATGGAGAGCAGAAACTTGGCACTTGGCAATCTGACAGCCTTCTAATATAAATAAGCATGTGCTGTAAGCTGTTAGAAACCACTCAAACCTGTTGTGATTGTTAAGGATGAAATACTTTAAAATTCTTGCAGCTACAGAGTTCAGTGAGGGTTTGCTTGTAAAGCTCTTTTAATGCTTGTTAAGAATATGAAAATACTTTTATAGCTTTTTAATGAGGACACAGAATGAGGTGAAGGGTTATACTGTATTCCAATTTTTCAAAATGGTGGAAATGTTTTGCATTTTAAAGTGGTCTTTTCTTCCATTTTTTTTTTCTCTCAGACATCGGCGCGTATTTTGAGGCAGGGACATGGCTACGTCACAATATACTTTCAGCTGGCATGGTTGCTGCCCAGGAATTTGCCAAAGTTATTATGTTTCTTCCCCTTTATGTCAGCAACTTAACCCGTGAGGAAATTTCATTTAGCTTTAGGACCAACACAGCACCAGCTGTTCTACTGTACATTAGCACTTTCGGCACAGATTACATAGCCTTCCTTCTCAGGCCAGAGGGTATGTATCAGTTTTTCCATGTTTTATACAACGTTTATTTGATTTTATTAATTTTGTTGTGATTTGGAGACACCATTATCTGAAAACAAAACACCTAAATCAGCTACTTGGTGTCACAGATGTCCTTTTAGACTAAAGAAAACAGTTTAAAAAAAATTAAATGTGTGAGTTTTGGGAGAAAAAAATTATTCTGAACAGAAAAAAACATTTTACATATATAACTTATAATTTATATGCAGTGTAATTTTTTAATAGATTTCAAGAATAAACACTGGTGTGTTTATAAAAAAATGTGCAGAGCCACTCGCCCTGCAAAACTGTGTGTACATTTGTTCTGTGCCAGTGTGGCAAAAACAAATGTTATTGTATACATTCTTTCTAGGTCGAATGTAACGTCAGGAATATACTGCATTATCACCATTAGATGGAACTGAGGAGCATAGAAAATACGTATTTCCTATGCTCCTCAGCTCCATTTACATAAGTATATAATGTACTTGGGAGCAACCATATTTGCATATTACACACTGCTACCTGATTGAAAGCAATGCCCTCTCTGTGTCTCTAAACAGTTGTTAGATAGGGAGACTGAATTAAGCTGAATAATGTACAAGTCTCTCTATGGAGTAAATCAGCAGGTCTCTATACTATTTATACAAGAACCAAAATAAGAAAGTGCAAACATTTATGGGGTTATTTACAAAGGAGCCAAAGAATTAGGCCGAACCTTCGGCTAATCCTGTGGCTCACTTTGACTGCAGGAACCCTTCGGTTCAGCCAAACTGAAGTGCTGCTGTACGGGCTATTCACAATGTGAAAAGTTTCATTAAAATTGATCTAAAATTGACAAGCAATGCAATGATTACTAAAAATATGTGCCTGCTAGGAATGTATTATGCTTTCACTTCACCGAGTTGGTTATCCCTTCTCTTCTGTTATTTGTATGGCAGGAACTTTACAGTTAAATTATCAACTGAGGAGCAATAGTCCAAATATCTTTCAGCTAAGCAAGAGGAACATGACAGATGGTAGACCACACAGAGTTAATGTTACCAGGGATTACCGTACCCTTTACATTCAGGTAATACTATGTATTGGAAATGTATTTCTGTTTATCTCCAGTTAAAAGATGACTTCCTGCATATTGAGTAGTAATCTGGTGCACTTAAAGTAAGCCCAAATAATAAAAAGAATATATTCATACTTCTCAGTTGATCATATTTCAAATTTTTTCAGCACATCTTAATTTTAAGTACAAAATGCAAGGACAGCTACTGAATATTTATTTTCCAGCTGAACACATATATGTGTAGATTCCAGGGGGTTTCCTAGCCTACGTCCTGTACCCAGGGGGTTTTAGCAAACTGGACCGATTGTATTGTTTTCATGTGTACTGGGGGGTACACGTTAAATTTTGTTTTGTTATGTTTATTGGGTCCTGGTCGCATCTCATCTCTTTGCCTGCTACTTCGACCACATCTCCCCAAGTAGGTTCTACCTTCATCTTAAGGGATACGGTTATTTCTAGCGCTTGCTAGATTTTGTCACTAGAGGCAGGGCTACCTGTCTTTTCTAGTCATTCCTTCTGCTCTGTGAGTGTCTCTCTTCTCTGTCATTTCCCTTGTCTTTCTGACCCTTTTTTCCTGCACTTTGTTTCTCCTTCCTCTCCCACTTGGTCTCTGTCTTCTCCTTCCCCTCCCGCACCCTTTTCCTTTCTTCCTAGGATTCCTGTCCTCCAACATGGCTGCCGCTGGGACTGCGGCGGGGGATTTCAAACGTTATACTTACAATGCTAGAGGTCTCAATATCCCCTCAAAAAGGGTCCAGATTCTCTACCATAGATAAAGATTGTTATGTTCCAGGAGACGCATTTCCACAGTCCGCATATTCCGCAATTTTCCAACAGGTATTTCACCAGATGGTACCATAGTTCTAACAGTATACAGAAATCTAGGGGGATGTCGGCGGTTCTGGACCATCGAGCGGACGAGTTTGGCAGGTATTTATTGCTCAAACTCACTTTGGGGTAGGACCTTCACTCTGGCGAACTTTTGCCTTCCAAATATTAATCAGGCCACTACCGCTGTCCAGTTTTTGAAGATGCTAGAGGACTTTGCGGAAGGTGTGGTGTTAGTAGGCGGGGATTTTAACATTGCCATAGAGCCCAGACTGGACTCCTCGGTAGGATGCTCCACACTTTCTTTTTCTAAGCTACGTCTGTTCAAGAAACGCCTTTTTGATCTTCACTTGGTTGATGTATGGCTGGTTCTCCAGTCTCTGACTTGTAATTACACCCACTATTCTGCCCCACATCGTTCCTATAGTAGGTTGGACTATTTCTTTGCTTCCCACCCTATACTTGACTATCCCCATTTAGCGACATAAACCCAAAACGGATGGGATCCCCAGATTCCTTTACCTCTTCCAGGTTCTTCCGATCCTCTCTCCAGCTTCTTTCTTTAAAAAGCTACAACAGGCTTTTTATCGAAGTTAGTTTGGGGCTCCTCACACCCTCGGGTGAACTACAAAACTCTGTCTTTGCCAAAACACAGGGCATGGTGCTGGTGCCCCCAACATATGCCTTTATCATGCGACATCGGTTCTGCTCCGCATTACAGACTGGTTTCATAGAGCTGCTGACAAACAATGGGTTCAGCTTGAGGGGGTGATTGCAGATTCGGACCTGCAAGCCATCCCTTGGATCCCCCTGCCTCTCGGGCCTTACCTGCTTCTATTCCTATTTTGACCCTACATGTTTTACGCTAGTGGGATTGGTGAATTTCCACCTGTAGGATTTCCTCCTACGTCGGACCTATGACCCCACTCTTTAACAACCCTGCCTTCCCTCCGGCGCTACATAGATCCTTCTTTGGAAGATGGACCAGGGACTCCCACAGACGCTTGGTGGTGGTCATTCGGGAATCCACAGTGGATCTCTCTGTCAATGGTATGTGGTTGGCGGACAGGCAGTTTCGCTCCTTTGTCGTTCTCTCAACCTGAGCTTTTGGAAGCCGAGCCTTGCGGCTTTTGACTCTCTTCTCTTGAGATCCTCTCCCCCCGCCCATACCGTCTCATTACTGTACTCTCTTCTCTCTTCCTCCCCCTCCCTGGAGCTTCCGGGTTACACTTCGGCCTGGGAACAGGAATTGGGCATCCCCATTAGCACAGTGGACTGGGAGAAATCCTTCGTCCTCTCTCATTCTCTCTCTATCACCAGTAAGGCCCATGAGAAGAACTTGAAGATCCTGACCAGATGGTATAGATGCCGCTCTGTACTCCACAGGTTCCACCTGCAGGTTCCAGATTCCTGCTGGTGTTGTTAGGCCTCCCCGGGTCATATGACTCATATTTGGTGGGGCTGTCCTCTTATTAAAGAGTTTTGGCAGAAAGTGTTGGATATCCATCACCAAGTGACAGATTCTGTAATTCCCAATGACCTTAAGATTACACTGTTGACTATGGTACCAGGTTCCCTAAAATCAGTAAAAACTCCTGCTGCACTTTCTTACGGCTGCGAGGGCGGTCATTCCCTGGCATTGGCGTACGCCTTTTACTCCTACCTTGGCGGAGTGGGCTGTGGAGATGGACCGTATTGCGGACCTTGAACGATTAATGGCTGATTAACATGACACCAGAGACAGGTACAATGTCACTTCGTCCGTATGGATCGATTTTTGGGCCTTTGATGCATTCTTAACTGAGCTCGTCTCCTGGAGGCCCAAAGAGCACAAAAACAAGAAAAAAAAACAAGAAAAAGGCCTTGGTCCTTAAGGGGTTAAGGAGACAGGAAAATGAGAAGTGGAAACTGATAAGGAAAGCAACAACTTCTGTTCACGGTAAACATCTTAAACAAGAAGTCAAAAGTTGGGGCGGTGGGCACGAGCAGGGCGGGAAAGGACGTTTAAAAACGCCCACCGCATTCAAGAAGCCACAGTCCAGTCGTTTAATTACAACAGCCGGGCAGCAGGTGGTTAAGGGACACAGAAGAAATGGACACTGACAAAAAAAAAAAAAACAGTGGCCAAAATAGGATTAGCCCGCCCACAACCATCATGCCTCGGTTTTTGCTGGTGTCCTCAAGAGGGTGGATGTGCTTTCTTCAGCTCAGCTTTTCTACAGGTCATTAAGCACAGGTGTTCACAATTTTATACTGGTGTTCTCTCTGTGACAGCCCTGAATTTCTGAAACTTTCTACAGCCATCTGCAGCTACTGGTAAAATCAGGGCGGATATAAAAACCCTGGACGGCTTTCCATCTACGCAAGCTGCTCAGGTTCCCAGTTCAGTATCTGTACTGGTGTTCCCTCTGCGTCAGGCCTGCAGTTGGCAGTGACTACCGTTTGTGTTCCAGTTCATACAGGATTCCACTATTCAGGTCAGGCCAATATATCTGGGGGTTACTTATGGATTTGTGGTCCACAGCTGGGGCAGTTTTCACCTGACCCCATCTCTGGAGGCTCGCCTTCATGAGTGGATGAACCAGGCTAATGCTATGTTGGGGATTTTTTTAAATTGTATCTTATCTTGCAGTTGGCCCCTACACTTCTGGTTCAGGGCCTCGATTTTTGGTCTCTTGTGGCGCAAATTGAGTAATTATCAAAGTGTTGGTTCTACTATTAGCCTTACTGCGCTCATATGCCACCCTTATTGTGGGATACTTACACATCCTCCTGTTGAGGAAACACTTGGTGAAGGCTTCTGTTGGACAACGTGACCTTGACTGTTCAGATGTTTCAGTAATTCAAGTGAATCTTGAGCCTTCAGAAATTGTCACTGGAAATGACTCATCACTTGGAGTATCTGAGTCTAGTCCTAGACACAGCTCAGTCATAGTGTTTTTTCAGAGGAGAAACTTCAAACTGGACTCTGATTGGAGTTTTCCAGTTTAGGAGTCATATCACTTTCTGCTTTATTCATTATTGTGCTTAGCTTGATGGTAGCCTCCTGTGCGATGGCTCCATTTGCCCAGTTTCACTCCAGACCTCTACTTTACCATGTACTGTGGTCATCGGACAGATCGATTTGTTTGGCACCGAGGACCAGGTTGACCCTGACCTGGTGCTGGCACTGGATTTGGGGATTTCATTCATTCTCATATTCTTGAATAACCCCATGATGACTGCCAGCCTGCAAGGCTGGGAAAGAGTCCTGAGCACCCTTTTGATGCAGGGGTGCTGCTCAGAGTCTCATCTCCTGACCAACACCCTGGATCTTTGGATGATTTGGCTGTCTCTCTAACGTTTGACAATACTGTTGGAAGGTAATCCAATCTGGATTCAGTCGAACAGCGCCACAGTAGTAGCATACATTAGCCATCAGGGAGGAATCAAATATCCATGACCAATTGACCAAATATTGCCACAAACATATTAAGTCAATGATGGACCCACTATCCCACCCTTTCCCTTATATTGCAAATGAAAGCTCAGGGAGTTGTCATTTGCAATAAAAGTAATGGGTTAACTTCAGTAAAAAGTTTAAAAACGCAATATTAATAGGGGTATAATGCTCAGCTAGGTAATTAAAACCCCTCAGCTGGCCTCAGTCACCTCTTGAACTATTGTTTGAAAAGATACTACAATTACATTTTTTAAGCCTACTAAAACTTATGGGGTTCAGAGGCAGTTACTGTTTTTGTTTTGTTTTTTTGTTCCTGTCATTTGATCAAAGAACTTCTTCCCATCTAAAACAGTTTTAAGCATTTTGACTGGCAATGGAAAATTCCTTTAACCAAGAAATCAGTCATAGACAACATCATAGAATTAATGTGGAGCACTTGGCCGTCTGAGTAAAATATTTGTAACTGTGCTTATTGCAGGTGGATTATTATGACACAGTGGAGAAGCAGTTCTACTTATGGGAAGATCCGAAGTTTGATTCACCAAAAGCTCTTTACCTGGGAAGGGTTGTAGGTGAGTTGACTGTACAAATCTGTCTCTGAACGTCTTGAGGTTGTATATTTCCATTTTTAATGAAACGAATCCTGGCCATGTGTTTATCGATTTCAAATGTTACAGAATAATTAAAACTAGAATTATTGGCAACCTCAAATGTATTTTTTTGATAGTTTTTATGTCCCAAATCAGGTTATGGCTAATCAGAATTCTCCCATCACTTCTATGTTATTTCACGTTAGTAAGTCAAGAATATATACTATATGTCACTGTGGCATTGTGAGGCAATACCACGGTGTTAGGTGGCCTCAAAGTCACCCAGGGTTCTCAGCCAGAGGGGCTGAGTGGCTCCAGGAAGACATTACTGGTACCAGGAGAGAACTGCCTTTTCAGTTCTTTCTGGGTTTTCTGGATCAAGGTTGGGATCCTGGAGCCAGGAGATTTCTTAGAGCTCTGGGTGGGAAGAAATCTCCATTCCTGGGTCCATGCTTTGGTGGTGACCAGCACCTGATTGTGCACCTGTTTACATCCCTCATGAAGTGTGTGCTGGGATGTGTTCAGGGCCCCACCTGTGAGTCAGGAGAGCTCCACCCTGGAGTCAGTGGAGGCCAGTGCAGCAGGGAGCTGCGGGGTTTGCGAACCATATTGAGAGGATTTCATGTTATCTACCGTTTTGAAAGCAAATAAACTGCATCTGACTTGCACCTCCGGTCTACAGTGGAGTGTCCTTGTTACAGTCACAATGAAACAACTGCCAGACCAGAAGACTCTAAAGTCACATGTTAAAGCTTCAAACCCAGCGAGTTATGTATATTATGGTAACATATTTTAATGATATCTAGTAGAATTATATCTTTTCACTTAATAATTTTTCAGGGTTACATGATCTGGAGAAAAGTATAAAAAACTAACAAAGGTGTGCTCCCTTAGACACAAGATAGGCTGGGGAGTGTAACAAAATCTCTGACAGACAAGCTCAGAGATGTTGAGCAGAGATGGGAGATAAGCTCAGAAGAGATGGAGAGCAGAGATGGGAGACAAGCACACACACAGATGCCCAGGCATACAATGTGCAGATATTGAATACGCAACACATTTACAGTGCATTAAGGGTAAACCCTATCCGTATACAGTCCAGATGTCTATCTAAATTCTGTATGTACACTAAAAACCCTACTCATGTACAGTGACACTACAGTGTGTGCACAGTCTATCAGCAGTGCTGCCATGCTCTTCCATCAGAAAAAAAAAGTATTTCTGTGAAAAAACCTTCTAAAACTCTAAAGAACAGACCAATTCTAACATCACTTGCATCTCCATTAGGCAGACAGGAATAGCAGCTATCAAAATTAAAGAAAAAAGGAGTGCACCAACCTGGTGCAATAAAATCTCTAAATTTGTTAACAGTATTGTGTAAAATACACTCACAAACATAAACATATGTGGCACCATGTTGCTGGCAGAGCTCTAAAATCCCACTGCCTACTTCCAGATCACACTTGTGGTTACTATGGTGGCAGGTTTTAAGAGTCACTCCTTTCCTGAAGCCTACCTTGGATAGGATTGTTATACTAGGATGCTGCTTCCTTTTACCCTGTTGCCTTTGCCACTGGTTTAATCGCTTTATGGTATATGTTACTCACAAGATATCTTCAACATTTGGTATGTGCAGAATACATGAACCTGTGTATGTTTGTCCATTTTATGCTAAAACAGCTCCTTTAAAATAAATTAGGGGCAAATTGTTGGACAGTGTCTTATTGGTTCCTGAGGCAATAATTAATCTGCCTCTTTTGTTATTTTCTTAGAGACTGGAACAATAGATTCAGAAGTGCAAAAATTTAACACCCCAGGTTTCATAGGATGCCTAGCTGATGTGCGCTTCAACAATATCACACCAATACGAGATATCTTCCGAAACCCTAAAGCATCAGAAGTGATCACCGTAAAAGGTTCCCTGGTGGAATCAAACTGTGGGGCCATGCCAGTGAAAGTCTACCATTTTCCATATGAACTGGACCCATGGTATATGGGAACAGGTAAGGGTGAGAACTGTACTTCAGGAAAGTGCTATGATATCATGTTTTTTTTGTCAAACTTTTTTTCTATTATTATGTTTAAATAATCTTTTATACCGAAAGAAAATCTGTATCAAAATTTGAACTAGCTTCTGGCACATGTATTGTTTTTTGCAGTCAATCAGTAGAGACTAAGACAGGATACACGTTTTGAACAGCCATAAAACGCTAAAACGAAGTTTGTAAAAGGAAAATTCTAACGTAAATTATATTGAAATTATTAAACTAATAAGATACCAGGCACCCATTTGTTATTGTCTCTAAGCTGTCTATCTCTGAAATAGACATATTAAAGTTTGCTGATGAACTAAGAGGTAACCATATAAAGACCCACACTGTTGTGCAATAGCTGTCCCCCCACCAACATATAAAGTATTCCAACAATGGGTGGGCTCAGTTACAATGAGTCATAAAAAAAACCTGTAGGCCTTGATGCCGTAATCTGTGTATTATTATTAATAATAATACATATATAGTATTATTATTAAGAGCCTATGAGGAAATATTTAAAGTAGAAATCTTCCTTAAGTGATACATGTGTGACATCTATTTTGGTTCTGTTGTTGATTGAGCCCTAGCTCCTCCTTCTGACCTTTTCATTGCATTAGTTTAATCTGTATTGTTTAGAGCAGTGGTGGTCAACTTATTTGATATAGGAGGCCTCAAGTGCAGCCTCTGACATCACCAAAGGGGAGCACATAATGTTCAGTGTATGACATTTTGAAGAAAATGGCCAGAGACTGCAAAAGAGAAAAAAGAATAAACAGCACAGAAAAAGGAAAAAAGGAAATATATAAACCAACTCATTTAGCTTGTAGTAACTGGTACAATTAATATTTTCCGTTACTCTTCCTGTGTAGGCACCTAGACAAGAAAACCCTGACTATTGGCTGCTGGTTGCAAGTTGAGCGCCAGAGGTTTTAGAATATATTAATCAAGAAAAAACAAAAAAGGGCCAGCTAACATCTCTTGGAACATCTTACTGTTTTCTCCTTCTAGAAATTTACGAAAGAGCTTACTGATGGAAAAATCACACATGTTCAGTGTTCTAAAAAAGTAAAAAGATTTTTATTGCACAATATTAAAACCACAAAACCTCAATCAAAAAGAGTTTGCATAGGGGAATGGGATTAAGCGTTCTCAGGAAAATTTTTGTTGTTGCAGTCTCTCTCTCTGGAAGTGTGGCTTTTAGTCATCCTCTGTTCCAATTAATTCCTTCCTGAAGGCCCCTGCGTATCCATCTTTATCCTAGTTTTTCCCATTTATTCACATGAGGAATCCATGATTGGTCCAAAGAACACAATCATATCTTACTCACAACAGTGATTGGATTGCCCCGGGAGTCTCTTTGAAAATGCTAAATAGCGGTCATAATTTTATGTTCGGCTCCATTCTGTCATTCAGTCTTTATCAAGTATTCTCTTCCTGAGTCACCACCGACCCTGACACTCCCAAAATACCACCTGATTGTACAGCAAGTTGGCCGTTTTAGCACATCAAAGTGACTCAAGCTCATGGAGACAACACTGATTATACCAATCACTGACCCCCGCCACACCTACTGAAGACAAACTGGATCTTAACCATAAGGCATTACAGCTGGCTTTAGCATACTAATGAAGTCAACAATGCAAACTCTTTCAATTATACTGTTTGCAGAGACGATAAAGCTTTATTTACAATTCCATTCACACCCAGCTAAATCCAGGTACTTTTTTGTGTGTGTTTGATCTGTAAAGCACAAATCCTGCATGTAGTTAAAAAAGTGGCAACATATAAAGTATAAGCTTGCTATGGAGCAGTTTTATCACTCCATGCTGTAAGATTTATTACCATACAAGTAGAAAGTAGTGTGTTTCACATCCATAGAAATATCCATGAGTATTACACATCCATTGCAAAAAGGTGGGGGTGTGATAGGTTAGTATCGCACACCATGTGGAACACGGCTTCTAGCTGACTTATTTCGCCAAACACTGGTGTGCTTAGAGCTCCTCATGATGTTTGACTGAAGGTTGTCTATTATATGTTCATATGTTTTAATTTGTATATGGTCTGGGGCGTTAATATTGTGATTTTCTTAGCGGTACTTAGGTGCCTGGGAAAAGGTTTCTCTTTGTTACATTCCCATACCTCATGATTGTCAAAAGGAAACACCTTTTAATTGAAAAATTAACTATGGTGCAATAAAAATAAAACTCTGAACGTGTGTAATTTCTGCATGATTAAGCTGTTTAGTATGTTTTAGAATATATCCATTAGGTATTTTGCATTTGTCAATGTTTAGAGTGGGAAAGCTATATAAGACGTTCTGACCAGCTAATAGTTAACCATGACTAATGTCAGGATAGGCTAAAACATGTAAGCTGGAGGTTGTAATTTTTTTATATTCATGTTCTGCAATGCAATGAAATAAAGGAGGACTTAAAGGACAGTTGTCAGTGAGTGCTGGCTTTCCATGTCTGTTTATGAAATCAGTAGATGTTTTCTGCTATGGACAGACTACAGGTAATATTGTGCTTAAAATAATCTTTCAACTCATGTGATTTGTTAATGGTAAGTAATCATTACTGGATATGTGAGTATATCCTCTTCAATCTTATGCATACCACAAGATGGCACTGCTGAACACTGCTGCAGAAACCAAGGAGTTCTTTACACTGTGACACCCCTCCTGTGGGTAGAAGCCCTGAAACAGTTAAACAGCATGTTGTTTTATTTGTGCTGAGGACAGGCAGATTTTGTTTTGCTGCTTTGCTGAAGAAAAACATTTTTTTTTCTATTTTGCTGCTGGAAGCATTATTTTGTTTGCCTTTTATATATAAAATAATCAAAAAGGATTCTGTAGAACTAAAAGACAGTGGGCCACCAAACTGAATTCTTAAGGCTCAATGGTAGAACCTGCAATAATAGAGCATCAAGAACTCCCTGTTGTTTAATTGTATTTGTAGCCATGCCCTGAATGCATCCCACTCTTTAGTAACTCATGTTGTCTCTTCCAGTATTTCCTCATGTACATGATGATGGTCTTGCTGGGATCATTGCATGTGAGTATTTCATCTTTTAGTACTTTGTCTAATTGAGAAGTAATATTCATTTTAAAAATAAGCGAACTATGTGATTTGGCCCTGAAGGATGTCCAACTTACTCGTGAACACATCCACAACAATGTAACAAATTCTCCAAATATCCCTGTGTAAAAATACTCAGCCTTTGTATAGGTATAGTTAATAAATACTGATACTAAACTCAAGTTAGAGATGTATCGCACCACAACACATACAGAAAAGCATAATTAGATACGCTGTGTTTTGAAAGGATTACTTAAGGCAATAAATCCAAAAAAGAATATGACATCTTCCCAGTGCACTGCAGTAAAGGGAATCTATAGCACACAATGCATTTCCTTGAATCCATGCATTTTACCCATGTTGTGAAAAACGGCCCATGTTGCCCATGTTGTAATCTCTATGACATGTATTTGCTATTTAAAGAAGAACTCCAGGAGAACAGAACAGTTCCTAACTCTTTCAAGTGGGGCTACCCCTGCATTGCAAGGGTTAAGTGCTCATTTTGGTCTAGGTGCAAAAATAACATAGTTAAACTTACCCAATACTCCGAGCCGGCTACCGGCTCTACAGCAGAGACGGGCTGCACCTTAATGGGGGATGTGCAGTATTTCTGGGGCGGAAAATGGTAGAAAGACTGGAGGAGCTTTAAACTAGGAAATAGGGGTCGGTGGGCTTAAAAATAAAATTACTTAAATCAAATGGAGATAAATTCTTCTTAGATAAAAAAAAATAATAATACAGAAAGAAGTAATAGAGGAATAGATAGTGGGCTCACTCCAGTCAACACACCGAGGTTAAAATAGCAGAAACAGTCAATGTAGCAAATAAGGCCACACAATAAAACTAGTGGGGAACAAGTAGGATATAAACTTTTGTCCCATAACAAGACAGGAATTAAATGTATGTACACCAACGCTAGAAGTCTAGTAAATAAATTAGAAAAGCTTGAAATTATGATACTCGAAGAGGACTTCGATATAGTGGGTATATCGGAGACCTGGCTAGACGGCACACATGATTGGGCTACTAATATAGAGGGGTATAACCTATTCAGGAGGGACA